TACTCGGCCCTCCAAAAAAATGGCGCCGATCTGCCCCAGTCATTTGTCTCCAACCTGCTGCGTCTCATCCAGCACATGAGGCCGCCCAAGCAGGCCAAGACAGCCAACGAGGCCAAGGAGAAAAAGCCCAAAGTCAGTGAACTGGACAAGCGGCGGAAGAAATACCCGGGCCTCTGCCTACCGGATAAGAAGGGAGAAGTCGAAACGGACGAGAAAGTGGCGCAGGACGCGATGGACGAGCTGGAGGCACTGATGCCTTTGGCCAAAATGCCAATGTGAGCGTCCCAAACTCTCTGTGAAACTAGTCTTGCAGTCGAATCCAGCACAGGTCCCTTCAAGTCCATCACATTTATTCAAGTTTTAAAGTCACAAGCTATTCAAATGAACTGTGACAAAAGCCTTCCTTTATCACTCATCATCCTGTTGTTTAAGACGGGTTTTTTGAAAGGACTTGCAAAAAAGACTTGTGATGGACTTGACCCTTGAACTGTGCTAAGCCTAATGCTGTAGGCTATGGCAGTGTGAGTTGATATAACTTCAGAAAGTAAGTTGTGCCAATAACCATTCAGTGTTTAACCCAATATTATTCAGATCTATCCAAATTACAATCAATCAAAATCTGCCAAAAGGTCAGGGGTTGAGGTGGTGAACTCTTATCTATGATGGTGAAGTCTTCCCCCTTGATCAACACGTAAGATTTTGTCGCTAGCAGAGTTGAGATGAGCAAAGGCGGACAATTTTTCCGAACCAAGGACTGGAAAAGCAAATTCATTTCGCTTTCAAGAACAAGTAACCTAAGGGCAAGACTTGTACTGCATTTGTCGCTGGATCTCTCAAAATAAGTCTTAAGGGCATTTTTCACATATTAAGGTTTTAGTGTACAGAAATTGAAAGAGCATAGTGAGCTCCTTGTGTCGACGTAGCTCCCAGTTGAAGATCTTGATGGAATTGGACATCACATGGATGAAAAGAAGGAAATTCCTGTTGACTGGGAATATGGGCCCGCAAATCAAAAGTCATGTCGGTGACTTTGGACTCATTTTGTTGGAGTGGGTTAAGTTTGTCCTTGATCTTGTCTGGACTTTCTTTGGTGTGTGGCTTTTCCTGCTCACGTTTTTTGTTTTGTGTGGGGCACAGCAAAACCGAGAAGTCTGAGGACGTGAAGACACACAAGAAAAAGAAGAATCGACATCACAGACGTAGCCGTAGCCGCAGTCGCAGCAGGAGTTCAAGCCACGACAGGGACCGGGCCAGGGAGAGACGCAAGAGGCGGTCGTGGTCCAAATCACGGTCGCGGAGTCGGGACCGGGACCGGCGGCGCCGCAGTCGCAGTGACAGTCGGGAACGGGACAGCGGGAAAGATCGCAAGCACAGAAGGTGGGGCCACTGCATAGAAGGATCCTGGGATATCTGGCAACGAACCCTTTTCCCAAACAAGATTTTGTTAATTTCAGAGAAGATTTAAACCAGAAAAACAATGCGATGGAAAAAAATTTTATCCCGTTCTAGAAATTTTGCGGTAGGTAATATTATTATTAGCGATGTTGGGAAATGTTAGGAAATGTTTGGATATCTAGGATAAAATGGGTAATATTTACCCTAACCCTGCCAGATGCAGCATAGTGCAACAGGTGTAAACTCTAGTACCATTCCTAGGGATAAGAGTATATCCTGTACTTTTCTCATTTGTGTGGATACTGCCAGACAGCATGACTGAACTCGATCGTTAACCATTTGTCAACTATCAATCGATTTTGCGCAATGCCCAAGACACATTTCATGCATTGGTCACCCGGCAAAATCGACTTCTGTTTGACAAATGGTCAGGCATCACACTTGACCCATGTATGTTATTGAGGGGGGTGGGATGGAGGTTGAGACTGTTCTCGTGTCCCTCCTTCCCCGATACAGGCACAGAGTTCCACTGAAGTTTAGGTATTTCTCCTTTTGTATTAGCGGTGAGTTACTCAAGAAAAAAAACCCACTGTACTAGAACGCTTGCAAGACTACTCGGAATGGCTGTCTTATAAAGAGATTGGGGTTTTTTTTTGTCATTGTAGGAAAAGGGACAGAAGCAGGGACCGCAATCGGGACCGTGACTGGGACAAGCACAAGGACAGCGGCAGCCACGCCGACCGCTTTGTCAACCGGCCCCCACCCATGGACCCGGAGGTGGGCTGCATCTACGACGGGAAAGTCACCAGCGTCATGCAGTATGGCTGTTTTGTCCAGCTGGAGGGCCTTAAACGCAGATGCGAGGGGCTTGTGCACATCTCCGAGGTGAGAGCAGCATTTCAGGGACCCCCCCAACCCGCTGGATATTTTCCTGTGCTCTGAATTTCCTGGAATACCCCACAGTGGAGCACAGCGTTAAACCAGTATGGCCCTGTTTTTGTATCAGAGACAAAACTTGGACCTAAAGGTCAGGACTCTAACTTTGGTGGTTGCCGATACTTTTTCACTCACTTTCGAAAACTACTTGGATATTGTGCCAGTGTCAAGTAAAAAGCCAGTTTTGAAACTTGCATTAAGAACTAGGGCTAGGCTTCCAGTGGTTACTCAGACAGCTTTAGCCTGAGAAGGCCCTCTTGGGTACGGCTAGTGGCGAGGCTGTACGGACTTAAGGCAAAAAGACACAAAATGACCACTAAGAAAGCTGTTTCCCATTTCTGCACAGCTTGCTTTGGTTACAACTTCATCATAACACTTTCATTGACTTTTTCCCTTCTCTACAACTTTTCTAGAATTCTTGTTTGGGGAAGTCGTGAAACAGTTAACATCCTTGAAGTTGCCTTTTCTCTTTAACGTAGCTGCGCCGCGAAGGACGAGTGGCAGATGTCAACGACGTGGTGACCCGGGGCATGAAGGTCAAAGCCAAAGTCCTATCCCTAGCAGGGACCAAGATCCGGCTGTCCATGAAAGATGTTGACCAGGACACAGGTATGCTTGAGATTTGTGTTCAGACGTATCCAGTGTGTATGCAGTGGACTTCTGGAGCACTTTAGTTCGTGATGTGCGTTGTGTCTTGGCGTCAGTACAAAACTGTGAAAGATATTTATTTGAGTTTTGGTCAGATGTCACAGCGACGTGTCGTCCTGGCTCCTGGTTGTTTGTTTTTGAGGTTTTGGTGCATTGTTATACCTGCAGTTTTGTTCAACCTACTTTGAGCTGATCTTCAGACGCTGAGTGGAAAATGCAAAAAAAAAAAACCCACACTTTCAAAATGTTTTTTGCCTCCTGAGCAGGCAGGGACCTCAATCCGATGATGTCCAAGGGTCTCGCCGGCTCCTCCAACCCGGAAGCGGACGACGCCCTGCGCAATCCCGACCGCCCCTCCAACCTGCCCCTAGTCTCGGTGCCGGAAACCGACGACGTCAGCATCCGCAAGCGGGTCCAGCGCACTACCTCGCCTGAGAAGTGGGAACTGAAGCAGGTTGGTATTGGTCTTGTGTTGGCCTCTTGATGGTCTTGTGGGGTCTTTTAACATGTTTAACGGTCCTAAAGGGTCTTGACCACAACACCGTCAACCTCATGCTCATTATTTCTCAATGTCCCATCATTGAAAATCAACGACCCTTTTAAAAGTTTAACATTCAGAAGTTCAAGTACGATATTCAACTTCTTTTTTTCGGTCCGAAATCGAGATTTACATTGTTTTTGACATTGGCTGTTGGTTTTTGTTGCCTATTCAGATGATGGCGGCGAACTGTATTGATGTGACCGAGCTCCCAGACTTTGATGAGACCACGGGCGTCCTAGCTAAGGAAGACGACTCGGATGAGGAGATTGAGATCGAGCTGAGGGAGGAGGACCCGCCCTTCCTGCAGGGCCACGGCCGGCAGAGCGTCGAGCTCAGCCCTGTCCGAATCGTCAAAGTACGTTTTTTTTTGTTTTTATAAATTTCCCCTGTGTGCCCCACCGAGGAATCATCGTCAAAGAAGTGTGTGGTTAAACGGGACAATTCAAATTTTGTATGTAGAACCCAGACGGAACGTTGTCCAAGGCTGCCATGATGCAGAGCGCCCTCGCCAAAGAGCGTCGAGAGATGAAGCAAGCGGCTGAGCGTGCCGAGAGTGAGAACATCCCAACGGGAATGAACAAGAACTGGATCGATCCCATGCCAGACAGTAAGTAGGAATCCCTTTTTCTCAAGGTAAATCCCATACCACACATTCAGTAGGAATACAATTAAAATCGATCTCAGACCAGACAGTGAGTAAAAATCCAATTTTATTATCATGCTAGACTGCATGTGCTGCATGCCAGACAGTAAGCAGCAATCCAACAGAATTAAATCCCTGGACCTCGTATAACAAACACGGTGGCTGTTGACATGGTGTAGAGAACCGAAGTGAATACGTCACGCCCACAATTACGTGTATAAAAGACATTAGTGCGAGAACCACCACGTGAACTAACACGCGCCCGTATCCCCTTCATTTACATTGCACTGTCTGGTCCAAACGACGTCACACTTCAGTACTCCGTAGGATCAGAAAACGGAAGTCCTCAACTGAAAAGTGCTAACCGCTGTCTTCTTGACTGAAACAGGCGAGCGCGCCTTGGTGGCCAATGTGCGCAACATGGGATTCACCAACCAGGACATGCCTGAATGGAAGAAGAGCGCGTTTGGCGGCAACAAAGCGTCGTACGGTAAACGCACCAAGATGACAATCATGGAGCAACGTGAGAGTCTGCCCATCTTCAAGCTGAAGGAACAACTTGTGCAGGTCAGTCGACCGCCGAGACTTGAAGCTTGTCTCTATTTTAGATTTGAGTAACTTATCTGCGAAGAAAGCAAAGCTATCTCTGTTTGGCACGTTTACCGATAGAACTGTTCGTGTAACCAACTGAGGTGCAGTTGGTTCCCTCTGTGCTTAATAATGGAACGGTACTGTTGAGAACCGGCCATGCAATTATGCCCCAGGGGCTGGTTCAAAATGGTCAAGTGAGGTTTTATGATTCGTAGTTACTGATTGATTTTGCTCATAGTATGAAGCACCTGTGGTGCATTGTGGTATCGAGGAGTGTTGTGATAGGTTAACCTTGACAGGGTAAGGATTTTGAAAGAAACGTGTCTGTCTGTCAATGGTCCCACCCAGGCCGTGCTGGACAACCAGATCCTGGTGGTCATTGGGGAGACGGGCAGCGGTAAGACCACCCAGATCACCCAGTACCTGGCCGAAGCTGGCTACACCGTCCGGGGGAAGATCGGCTGCACCCAGCCCCGCCGCGTGGCTGCCATGTCCGTGGCCAAGCGAGTGTCGGAGGAGTTTGGCTGCCGGCTGGGTCAAGAGGTGAGACGATGATGTGGTTTGTCGGTGGATTTTAGCATTCGGGTTGCTGTACCTTGTCAGAAAAAAGAGCGCAAAATTGTGTTATGCCACATTTTTAAACTTTGAAAGAAGGTTTGTTGGGAATTTGTTCACCGCTGTTCAAGAACGCAAAGTCACACATAACTGTAGAAGATGTGTACCTCTCCAGAGTCGATAATCAAGAGTTTGTGCACATTCAGCCGCAAAATGTCATTCAAACTGACGTCATTATCGTTCTCTAACATTTGTCTTAGGTGGGCTACACCATCTGTTTTGAAGACTGCACTTCCTGGAAACCAAGATCAAGAATTTGTGCACATTCAGTCGCAAAATGTCATTCAACTTGATGTCATTGTTATTCTCTGACGTTTATGCCAGGTGGGCTACACCATCCGTTTTGAGGACTGCACTTCCCCGGAGACCAAGATCAAGTACATGACAGACGGTATGCTACTCAGAGAGTGCCTGATCGACTCGGACCTCACCCAGTATGCCATCATCATGCTGGACGAGGCCCACGAGCGCACCATCCACACGGACGTCCTCTTTGGCCTGCTCAAGAAGGCCGTCAAGAAGCGCAGCGACCTGAAGCTGATCGTAACCTCGGCCACGCTCGACGCCGTCAAGTTCTCCCAGTACTTCTTCGAGGCGGTAGGCATCAGTATTGAAATACGTATTTCCAGCAGGTCGTATTTCGTGTTGCTTCTGGAGCTAAATGAATTCGTCAGGACAGTGTTTAAACATCCCCCGGGAAATTCTCTTCAGTTTCACTTCTGGATGAAGCGTGGAAAATTCCTTCAAAGGGAGACCTCAGAGGCGAGCAATCCTGTGTTTGAAATCCTTGTCCTTGGAGGCCGCTTCCCACTTCCAGTGTTGAAGAAAAAGCATTCCCCAAGATAAACATCCCAGTGTTGCGTGGTTTGAGGTATTTTGAAAAGATTACCTTGTTTTGTGAAACATAGGCCGCGTTTGTCGCTCATTATCCGCTTGACTCATATGCAAATGGATTGAAACTCGGTCAAAATCGCTGGGTTATACTCCAAACCAGTTGTGTGTAGACAAGCATCCGCGTGCAGTCTCTTTCGCGAAAGATTAGGGCTTATAAACATCTGCCCCTCACATTCACAGACAGGCTCAAAAACAAAAATTTTGAATCTTTATTCCTCATATCTGTTTGTTTCCATGATCTGCAGCCAATCTTTACAATCCCGGGCCGCACCTTCCCCGTGGAGATCCTATACACCAAGGAGCCAGAGGCAGACTACCTGGACGCCTCCCTCATCACGGTCATGCAGATACACCTGACCGAACCGCCGGGTAAGGATTAAAGACAGACAGCAAGACAGACAGACTGACAAACAGGTTCATATCACCCAGATGAGGCCTTGCACACTCACTGTCACTGACAAGCCACTGCTTCACCCTTGAGCTACGTACATATATGGAGTGTTTGATTTCAAACGAGGTCATGTATGAGAATGTACAAAGGTGACATCACTTTTCATCCGCATGGACACAAAATCTGAAAGCCGATGTATAGAATGAAATCCCTAAGTTTTTTGCAATTCACACTTGTGGTTTGCCATGCTTTAAAACACTGTATTGTAACGAGGGATTGAAGTCTAGATTGTGAAAATCACTCAGCACATTGATTTGTACAGGTTAGATCTTTCTCATGCTGCGTCTGTCTTTCTCGTGAATTTCAGGAGATGTGCTGTTGTTCCTGACTGGTCAGGAGGAGATCGACACGGCCTGCGAGATCCTCTTTGAAAGGATGAAGTCCCTGGGTCCAGAGGTACCAGAGCTGATCATCCTACCAGTCTATTCCGCCCTGCCCAGCGAGATGCAGACCAGGATATTTGACCCAGCTCCTCCGGGGAGCAGGAAGGTACGTCTTGGATTCGGTGGCGCTGGCACCTGCCTCGGCCTGGCCTAACTGAGCCCGTACTGTCCCAGCGCAGCCTAGAACAACCTGGTTATCCCAACACAGCCAAGCCTAACCCAGCTCAGACTAATCCACTTAATCCCAATTCCACCCAACATTACCCAGCCCAGACTATTATTCCAACACAACCCAATAGCCCAGTCCAGAGTAGCCTAGTTGTATCCCAACACTGCCCAATTTAATCCGTCTTTGCCCAGCTTCTCTCCAAAACACGCCCACGCTTGCCAGTTCCAAGTTATGGTTTTAGCAGCTTGGGAAAACTCCACCAAACGGGTTACAAGTCCATTTTTTTCCCCCCACTGCTTAATTTTAGCCCAGCTCTACACCACCAAACCTGGCTTAAACATCCCAACATTGCCTTTGATTACCCAATTCTACTGAAACCCAGCGCAACCAAGCGCAACCTTGATTTCCAGAGCTACTGCCGCAGTGTGCCTATGCATTAGTTTGCAATTTGCCAAAGACTAAAACTCATCCCAAGACTCAAGACTCGACCTGAACTCCACCATAAGTGGTCCAAATCAACCCCGCATATCCCAAGTACTCATTTAGTGCATCACCTGTTACCTCCCCCCCCCCCCGCAGGTTGTCATAGCCACCAACATTGCCGAGACCTCACTGACCATCGACGGCATCTATTACGTGGTGGATCCAGGCTTTGTCAAGCAGAAAGTCTATAACTCCAAGACCGGGATGGACCAACTTGTCGTCACTCCGATATCGCAGGTAAAAGTTACTCGTTTCTTTCCTGTTTCCTTTTCTCACCCGTTCCTCCGTGCATTTCTTTCCCTCAGTTGTCAAAATTTGTAAGCAATCTTAGCAGTGAGTGAAATTAGAGTTTCAAATGCGTCAGTTTTTTGGACAAGCCAATGGTGTTGACAAGTGTGTACAGTGAAGTTCACTTTTCTTAACCAAGTTAGAACAAAATAGGAAAAAAAAATCACACCGTTGCCCAATGTCTGTTTGCGTGGATGATAAACAAATTTTTTTATTTTGTTAGCCTTTCATCCTTGCCTTGTGCAGGCTATAAATGTTGTGCAAACCTTAATCCACTTGGGATGGAAGCAATTTGTTGTACACAGTTGGCCTTTTCTCATGTCTTCATGGAGCTTCAAACAACAGTTCATCACGTGTGCTATTGGGTATGACAAACAAGTCATGTTAACCCACTGGCCTCTTGTCTTCTGCTTTCTGTGCAGGCTCAGGCCAAGCAGCGCGCGGGCCGCGCCGGCCGCACGGGCCCCGGCAAGTGCTACCGCCTCTACACGGAACGGGCCTACCGCGACGAGATGCTGACCACCGCCGTGCCCGAGATTCAGCGCACCAACCTGGCCAGCACGCTGCTCTCCCTCAAGGCCATGGGCATCAACGACCTGCTGGCCTTCGACTTCATGGACGCTCCCCCGACCGAGACACTCATCACAGCCATGGAGCAGCTGCACTCGCTCAGCGCACTGGACGACGAGGGCCTGCTGACCAGACTCGGACGCAGGGTAGGTGGATGCTGGAAACTCTGGATACCAGACTGGACATCTAAACTCATAGCAAATCACAAACCCTCAAAGGAAGTATTGCAAGTGTCATGATGTTTAGCCGAGTCGAGGTTAACTGAATCTGAGCGTTTGTGAGAAAGAGAGCCTTTACTTCTGAATGATTCAACAACAAATGGTACCCTTTGCTCGTTAAATCTGGAAGGCTTAGTGGAAAAGTCTGATCAAGGGCCATAGCTAAGCATAGTTCGACTAACCCTGATCGAACGCACTCTAGTCGTCAATTTTATGGAGAGTTTTATGGAGAGAGCACCAGTTGTAAAAAATGTTGGAAATTCTGTATGTCACCAGTAAACGACCATTTTCACTTTTATTTTTTGTCACTTTGCCCTTCCTGCGGCCACCTTTTTCTCCCCTTCGGCCTCACGACCTGACAACGGTTGACTAGGGTCGTTGGCACTTCAACTTCACTGCACACGTGCTTGGTACGTCACGGGCCAACACTAGTGAACTAGTGGCCCTTGATACAACTTGCCCGGCGTTAAAATAATTAGCAGTCCTTACATCGAGTCCACTGTTACTCAATGTCAGTGTTATAGCCTGAAGTCCATCCTCTTCCTGCAGTGCTGAAATGTCTTTACAAACAATTTACTTTTGGCAGATGGCAGAGTTTCCTCTAGAGCCCATGCTGTCCAAGGTCCTGATCATGTCCGTCCATCTGGGATGTAGTGAAGAGATTTTGACCATTGTCTCCATGCTGTCTGTGCAAAATGTCTTCTACAGACCCAAGGTATGCACGTGGTCCATCCTTAAATATAACTGTCAGATTTGTTCGAATAAGAGATGTCAGTGCCACAGGGTAAACAGGTGTCGTTACTTTTCTCTCTGACTGGCCCATATTTGGAGCAGCTTGAGTTTCTTTTTGCCAACAAATTTAGGAGGCAGTCTGTGTTCCAGATATTTTAGATTGAAACGGGGCAGTCTTACTTTTTTAAAACTTAACCCTAACAGTCCTCAGTCCTCCAACAGGTGAAGGTTTGAGGATTGTTGGGGTTAAGGCAAAGTTTTGTGCCTAAAGTGCAATTTTGTGGAGACTGCTCACCTCTGTGAACGTCTGCCTCCCGAGTCAGATTTGTGACGGACTGAGCTACGAGACTGATGTTAAAAACCTCCAATCCACCTCATTTGCTGAAGGCTAAGACTGCTCATGTCTGTTGAAAGCATTAATGGTGGGAACGTATGTTTAATGTGAAAAACGTTCCGAAAATTTTTCCCATACTGTTTTAATGAACATTTAAACGTGTAAATATCCCAACTATCTCAGCCTTAGAAGGCTTTTCATTTACCCTTATCGCAAGTTCCTTAGATTGTTTGAGCTGAAACTGCAATTTGACAAAAACTCCCCCCCTTCCCCCTATCCGTTCTGACCAGGACAAGCAAGCGATTGCCGACCAGCGTAAGGCCAAGTTCCAGCAGCCTGAGGGGGACCACCTGACCCTGCTGGCCGTCTACAACTCCTGGAAGAACAACAAGTTCTCCAATCCCTGGTGCTTCGAGAACTTTGTGCAGGCGCGGACGCTGCGGCGGGCCCAGGACGTCAGGAAGCAGCTGCTAGGAATCATGGATCGGTGAGCTTTCGAGAGCACCAATCGGTTGGCTTTCTGACCGGAGTAGGCCGTGACCATAGAGGTTTACTTTATACGATCTCTAGATGGCCAACTCGCTGTGTAAAGTGAAAATCTCATAAAGCTTTTGTACAGCTATTCTATGTCTCCAATTGCATTCTAAAATGATGCGTCAACAAAGCCAACACACCAAAACCCTAAACATACAATGAGCCCTTTGAAGTTATTTATTTTGTCACCAATTTTTTTTTTCCAAATGTTTCTCGTGCCCGTGGAAAATAAAATCGGAAAAAGTTTAAATGGCTATTTATAGTTTCGTGCATTCAACCAAATGTGTTTTGACAGTCCTATGTAATACATTGTACTCTAATACTGTGGTGTAAATTTTCACTTGAATTTGGTTATCTCCTTTTGCGTAAAAATCTTGAGTTTTGACATTCATGCCTTTTCTTTCTGATCTAGGCACAAGTTGGACGTCGTGACGTGCGGCAAGAACACGGCCCGAGTACAGAAGGCCATCTGCAGCGGTTTCTTCCGCAGCGCCGCCAAAAAGGTAAGCCAGCAAACTCTGCCCAGAAGAATATCCGCCGAGACCTTCCCAGATCCTACAAGATCCAGCACCGTGCAGGAACAGGGTTCCTTGCCATCCTGGAAATCGGGGAAAACCTGGAAAATGAGTTTCTATTTTTCCAGTTGAGGAAAAAATCAGGGATAAATCTGGGAATCTGGTTAGCCCGGAACAGGAAGTGGGCCAGTCTTTGATATTCTTTCTCGTGTGCAAACAGTGCATCCATTGGCTGATTACCTTTGGTCACTTTTTAGTTGGAGTAGGTCGAAATAATTATTCCAGAATTTGGGAAATTCATCAGGAAAAGTCAGGGAAAAAATCAGGGAATTTTGGTATCATGAAATTGCAGGAATCCCACGAAATACAGTAGCGGTCTCATTGGCCATAACACTTTCAAAAGTTATCCAACCTGTGTAAAAGTGATTGTGGTCAGGTTTTTCCTTCAAGTTGTCTGTTTGACGAACCTGAAAAGTTACTAGTCATAGCAATAAAAATGTCTGCTGATTGAGTTATTAGGCGTCGTGTTTAGTTTTTGTGTTTGAAAGGTGTAAAACTCCCCCCCAAAAACGGTATTGACCTTGGGAAAAAAGTCAAAGTAATTTGTTTTTCTTAAATTGGCTGTCACATTCAAGAACCTTCCCTTGCCAGGAGCATAGAAAGTTTACTCTGTCTTACAAATGGAAGAAAAGGCTTGAACTACTTTAAGAACACCATTACAGAGACTGTAACATGAACTTTTGTCCATGTTTGTTTCTGTGCAGGATCCGCAAGAGGGTTATCGTACTTTAGTGGACAGCCAGATTGTCTACATCCATCCATCCAGTGCACTTTTCAACCGGCAACCAGACTGGTAAGTCTCATTGGAGTCTTTGGAAAACATTTGAAACTGACTAGAGTGGGATTCGAACCTGGGACCTCTGGAATACAGTTACGGGGCCCAGTGGAATACAACTGCAAAGGCAGGTTGAACAGAAATATAAACCATGAAGCATAATTTCAGTAGGCGTATGCATGCTGTACAGGGAAACTAACGCATGCGATTGTTCCCACTTGTAAGGAAGCGCTGCGGCTTTGCAACGGCGGTGCGTGTGCTATCGTCAGCCTCGAATTGTAGGGACTGCCACTTATCGCATGTTTGATCCGGAATAGTGGGTTTGCATGGCTGCCATCTTGTAGGCTTGTGCCTTTGTTTCGCAGGGTATGCACAAAGGAGGTTTCCCTGTAGAACAAAACAACTGCCCTGCAAGATGGCTACTACGCAAAGCTTCTGTAGGGTAATGCTGTAACATGTACATGTGTACGTGGACAATCCACAATGCTTTGTAGATCCTGTTTATTGTGACTCACTTTGTGCACTGTGTGGCACTCCCCCCCCCCCCAGTTCTGGCATGGGTCGGGTGAGGGTGTTTGACCCCAGAGGACGGCATTGTCATAAATATAAATACCCAATATACCGCCCCCTCCCCCGAAAAAAAACCCACCTTCCTTCACCAACGCTGTACGATCCTACTTTCCCTCCCCTTTGCAGGGTCGTCTACCACGAGCTGGTCCTGACCACCAAGGAGTACATGCGGGAGGTGACCACCATTGACCCCCGCTGGCTGGTGGAGTTTGCCCCTTCCTTCTTCCGGGTGGCCGACCCCACGAAGCTGAGCAAGCACAAGAAGCAACAGCGACTGGAGCCGCTCTACAACAAGTACGAGGAGCCCAACTCCTGGCGAATCTCCCGCCAGCGGCTGCGACGAAATTAGGCCTGCGTTGGATTGGGTCAAGACTTGGCCGATCCAAGGTTGGGTCAGGGCCGAGTTGTGATCGAGCACATTTGCATGAGTATGCATGTACTTACCTCTTTGAGTACAAGAACAAGTACTTGACTATCTGTACTTTTTTCTGGTGTAGGAGTACGAGTACTTCATGAGTGTGAGTACTTATTGAGTACATTTTCTTGAGTACGCTTTTGAGTTCACACGAGTACCTCATGAGTATGAGTTTGAGTTGTGAGTTGTTTGCCAGTGAGTTTGTGCAGTGAGTTTTTTACGTGCATGGAACTGGTTTCATGAAACTCTTCTCCCGTTTTATTCTGTGTGGAACTTAAGGCGTAGTTTTTTGGAGAAACTGACCTTGAACCACTTAGTATTTGTTCACATCTCTAGTCTCGTTTCCGTTGTTGCCTTCTGAACGGTCCAGACAAGGGAAAAAACTGGAGAACCGAGGTTGATTGGGAACGTGCCATTTCCAATGATCACTTTGAAAAAAGGGTATAGAAATCATTCACTTTACAAATCTGGTTTTTAAGCTTCCCCAGCCCACTTTGACTTTATTGGCGCATTGCCAACTTATCACATGTACATTATTTGGTTACCTATTGAATCGCGAAGCTAATTTTATTAGGTTTGTACATAAATTTCCAAATACTGATGTTTGTTCCTTCGCTTTTAGTCGTTTTTTTGTAGAGAGGGGCTTGTCAGAAAATCTACCAGAATTTTGGTTTCGTGTCTATCAATATACATTATTTTTTCATTTTCTTCAAAACAACACGCCTGACGTGTACATTATAAGAAACTGTTTAAATTGTGCACAGTATTAAATTGTCCGTTTTACCTCCCGAGTTCTCTTCCTGAGTCAGTCTATGAAAAACAAGTTTGAAAGAAAAAAAGTAGTTGCACAAATGCATATGTTAAACCCCTTCATGACCCAAATTGCACAATCCAGAACGGGACGTGGTAGGCATGTAAACAGAGGGCGTCTTCTCCTGCAGGGGGGTTATGATGTGTTGATCTCTTGGGGCCCCTCAAGTTTTGGCCTCTACCAGAACTCGTACAGTTCCTTGTCGCTGAACATCTTGCCGTTGAATTCAGCGGAGCCTGGCGGTAGCAGGGCACAGTAGACCGGCGTGATGGCGCCCTCGTCAATCGTTTTTGTTCCCTTGAAGCTGGACATGTCGGTGCTTACGTAGCCTGGACAGCACTGTTGTAAAAGACAGACGATAAAAAAAAAGACCTGAGCTTCTATCTGCGGCCATTCGCTACAAGTCTGTCTCATGTTCAGTTTACATGACATTGGGCGTGAATGATATAAAAAATAGGGATAAACCTACACAGGTCATGAGAACGTCTTTGTTTGTCTTGTCCTCGGCTGTGTCCGCAGCTTGGACTCGGGTAAGTGCAATGACCCTCATCTTGGAGCTTCCATAGGCAAAGCTGGGCCGGCCTTTGCTCATGTGGTTTCCAGCGTTGGCACATCTGATGGGAAGAAAAGACCAAGTATTTAAGAATGCATTTCTTAAATACAAGTTGGTTTGTCTATCCATATATTCCTTGAGAGATGTTTTGCCGCGTGGAATCAATTCATATTGTTTCAAAATGTAAAAATATTTGGAGATAAAAGGTGTTTGCCCGCCAGTTGCCCGCCAGTTTGATCTGCGCGGCACCCAACTAAAATCAAAACTATGGGCAAATTCACCCCTCAGTATAGGGAATTGACGCACAGTTGAAGAATTCCAGGCATAAAATTCTATGAAGCCATTTTTTTTTCGATTGTAAAACGCTTCTATTTACTTAATCTGGTCCCTAGGAATTCAAACCAATGCAGTTGCAACGTCTGAAAAGAAGAGTTAGCAGTACAAAAAAAGCGAAAGGGATGGACGCATTTTGGGAGCACATGTAAACAAATACAGGCAATGTAAGGGCGTTCCGCTTAATGCGCACTGGACGCGCTGCCATCCGTTGCTTCGCACATTGTTTGCCCATACTTTCCAAAAAACACGGTTTTAAGCGCAAGACCGGCGGTCTATGCGTTTATATCTCTGTGCCCTATATCGACAGTGCCCCTATGTGACGATCGCCCTCTACTGTTCTGCGGTCAACTGTATCTTTTTAGCACCGGGATGTTTACCCACACGAGGCTGTCGTTCAAAGAAAACGCAATACATTATAAGTTTGACCATAGATAGAGGCAGACAGAACACGCTGACAACTCGCTAGAATCATTGATAAGTTTAACCATCTATTTATGGAGACGAAGGAGACGGACAGAATATTCACCCAAAGTCAGGAGACGATATGTATTTTGTTACATGCGCTTCAAATGGCAAAGAATGATTTTGCCCGCCGGAGAAACACATGTAGAACATTTTGAAACTTATTTCAGCGACGATCAAAACTAATGCAAAGTTTATTAGTTATTTAGTTAAACGTCATCGAGTCCCCAATGTCGCAGGAAATGTGAAAGATTATCTCAGGAATTCTTCCAACATAATTTATACGGATAATATATTATACAATTATCCAGTATTTGTAAGGATAGCAAAACCTGATCTTTTTGTGCAGGCGCAGATTGGGGCGGGGTCAACCCCCAGTCTTACGCACACACAGATCGAATAAATGAAATAACAATTTTGGTAATAGAAAAAAAGATGACATCCTGTAAGAGAGCCTCCTGTGCTAGGAAAATTGTGCCCTCTCTTGTTCCGGCTCGGGGCCAATTGCCCAATTAAATAAAAAGCATGTACGTAGAACAAGGGCGGATCCCGACCCGAACTCTCGGAGGAGGGGGTTTTTTGGGACAATTAATTTCTTTATGCCGTCTCTATTGGCTTTTCTCCACGCTTTTGGAAGGAGGGGAATTGCGATAGTTCCCTTCCAATCGCCTTTCTTATATCTTTGTTTCATCAGATCCCTTTACGGTGCGATATGGAGGGCTTTCCAAGAAACTAATTAATTTCTGTAAATGTTACATTGTTCAAAACGTAAATAGAAAAGACAGCTAACTCGGCTTATGTCTAATCATGAGGCATTTTTAAAATGAAATATTGAGAGGATAATTAAATATACTTGTCTATTTGGAAGTGTATTCGAATTTTCTTTTAATTAACCAATAATTTGTTTTAGATTTTTCCACCTAACTTGTGATTAAAGCGCAATATCACTGTCAGGGAAAAATTGAAATACGAAATTTGACGTTTTCAGTAATCACCACAAGGGCAGGAAAACACGTCATTACTAAGATCTTCTCCGGCCTGTATGTAGCCAGTTTTCTTGAGGTTGTTTCTCAACTCGACATAGACCAATAACTGAGCTAGAGTGAATAGATGTCTTTCAGATTTTGTTTCCAACATCCTATGAGACTGTTTCCTGTGCTTCGCAGCCTTATACCCGGAAATTCACGACCATCATACTTTCCTTTATCTGTTCCCAGCTCTGCCATTTTCTTTCAATTCCCCACCCAAAAATGGAATAGTCAACTACACAGGCGTACACTATAGTATGTTGTTATGAACCATGGACCAAAACTTCTGCTTGCAAGTTAATTTCCTTTCTGGTTTCACGGCAAAGCCCATAGGAAACCACGCGTTTTACTTCTACAGCCTACTATTGGCTGTTTTCATATCCAATTCCAATCTTTTTCACAGTCCGAAGACTTCAAAACAGAAAACTATAATGCAATAGAAAGAAACTTTACTGCAATGTGAAATCCTACCCGCGTGGTAAAAAGAGAACACCCGAAACACCTCACTATGTTATGTGAGAAAAACCCATCTCTTTTGGTCTGGCTAACACTTTAGTTTCATTTTGCCAAATAACTTAATTTTCATTTTGTCTTGCCTGTTCTGTTTCCCGATTATAAAGAGGAGGTCGTGTCTGATTTTAATTTCAACCAATAAATTAAATGTATGACACTCCATTTATATTGAGAAAGTACCTTAAAATCCAGCTCGCCGCTTTTGCAAACAAAAATTGAAGTTTGAAGATCAATTCAACAAACCATGGCAAGAGCTTTGTGGTGGTGGTCAATCAAGATGGTGTGAGCAATACTGGGTCTGAATTTGAATGATAAAACACTTTTTCCTCTTTTGAAAGTCGTTTCTCGGAACCAAGGTGCTTGGTCTGTTGAAAGCACAATCCCGGAAGTACATGGATGTAACAGCGCTGCATATCGCTCCGTGACTGGGTGAATGATTAATTGTGAGAGTGAAATTTGAAATCATTCATCGTGCATAAAGCAGCGCGTCCTGTTACAACTGGTTTTTATTTTGGGAAGAGGGTCGATATGCATAAAACGAAACTCTTTCGTTAAACGCTTTCGGAGCCACGGAAAGAAAGTCAGCATCTTGCAATGCGAGTCCATCATTTGGAAAGTGAACTCGAAGTTATCGAGTGGTTCCTTCTCCCCATTTTATAGGTCCACACTTCATCCTAGCGACGGTGATGTTAGCAGCCAAAATGGCCCGCAGCGATGCAGTGACGGTCTTCTCTGGCAATACCACAATGGCCTTCTCCGTCAATTCTTCTACGACAGATTTCTCCAACAGCTCAACCACTGTTTTCTGGATGGAAAACATAACGACAACGGTTAGTCACTCTCTGCAGACCTACCCCGAGAGAGTTGTTGTCGCTGTAGTCTGGCTCCTGCTCGCGGTGTTCAACGTCACAGGTAACACCATGGTCATCCTGGGGGTGGTGTTCAGTAGGAAGCTGCGGACATCCACCAACGTCTTCGTGGTCAGTCTCAGCGTGGCTGATCTTCTGACAGGCCTGGCATTACCCATGAGCGCTGTTGGTCTGCTCAGTCCGGGAAACACTTGGCCGTGGTCCACCGAGACTCCCTGCTACTTAGCTGGCCTACTGCTTTTTGTCAGCTCTTGTGCTAGTCTCTACAACTTGGCCTCTATCGCCCTGAACAGACTGGTCCTCATCAAGCGCCCGATGACTCTTTACCGTAGTCTCTACACCAAGCGCAATGTAGTCATCATCGTGGTAGCCATCTGGTTTGTTGCCTTTGCAACGATGATCGTTCCACCGATCTTCGGCATTGGAGGGTTCGGCTACGACGAGCAGCATCACACCTGCAGTGACTTGGATACCCATCCTAAGGCCAAAACCTTCGAGAGGATTCAAACCTTCGTCTTGTATCCCATCCCTTTCATCACCATTGTCACTTGCTACACCATGATCTTCTTGCACGTCCGCCGCCACTTCCAGGCCCAGAGATCCATGCGAGTTGCAAGCAGCTACACCGGCCCGGTTTGTGCTACCCCGGGCAGTTCTAGCTTCGTGGTGTCTGACAGCAGTGATGCCTTGAAGACAGCTCAAAGCGACCGTGTCTATCGCCAGCAGCTCGAAATCACCAAGAATCTCTTCATGGCAGTCTGTGCCTTCTTCCTCTGTATCACTCCGTACTGCGTGGCGCTTTTCATCCCCAACACCGACCGATACCTTTTGTTTTTGGGCGTGGTCTTTACCCTCAACAGCTGCGTCAACCCGATCGTATACGCCGCTAAACATCCACAGTTCAAGAAGGTTTTGCGCCGTATGATAAGATGCCGGTGCTCACAGATTGAAGAGCCGTCTAATGCACTCAAAGCTGTCATGGCTTGCTGTCGCAAGGCGTGAATTGCACAAGTCAAGTCCGCATTAGATTACACGTCTATTTTCTAAACGGGAATTGCCTTGAAGACAAAATATAATAGAGTGCAGTACAGTGCACTCCACGTGCATACAGTTTGAGCGATACCAGTGGCGTGTTTAGAAAACTAGACCGGAGTTTTTAGAAGTATGTAAATCATGCAAATTTCTTTGTTGCATATGCAGATACCTTTTTCATGTTATAATATCAAAACAAGCCTTAAATTCAACTCCCCTTCTCTCTTCAGTGCTCTCATTTCAGTTTTATGAAATTTGATTGATCATGTTTTAAGAACTTCTCTTGGTCAAAATTTTGTACATGCATGTATCATTACAAAGAATTTGTGTAAGCGGTGATTGTAACACATTTGAAAAAGTAAGATGAGATTGCAAAACTCATAAATCTTTGCTGCACATGGAGTGTAAAAACCTTTAGTAATTGACCAGAATCGGAGTACACGTACAGGCATCACCAATGCATCTGTTGTACATGTGCACCAGGCTGGCTGGGTAGTGTTGTAATTGAGCATAATTATTTTTCATGGATGCCAGTTCTTCTGAATATTACATGTAGTACAAAATACGGGAGAATGGACTATTTTCTTGCGAGTATGAATACGACTACAATCGGGAGCAAATTTCCAAAAGCACGAGTAAAATTGCTAAAACACACGGCAGATAGTATGGGTACATGTAATGTAAAAACACTGAAGTCTGAATTCGTAGACGTGGGTACGGCTTAATTGGTTGTAATAAGTACAAAAGTTGGTTTGAACTGTGACTTCATGTAGCATGCTGAAGAATGAGATGAGATCTGCGAAGCATGTAAATTATGCAAGAAAATTTATCATGAATTTTAAAATCACATTGTAGAGAACGACTTGTTGAAAAAACATTGCAAATATAAAGAGCATGAATACATTTGATTGCATGCCTAAAAGCTGGGAAAACTTACTACATATACTCACACATTATAAAATATATGCTGTCCGTGACGTTGGCTTCATCGAAGCCTCTACAGAAAGGTATGTAACCTGGAAAAATAGCTCAAAATCAATAAAGGGAAAAAAACTAAAAGAACAAAATCTAAACGTGTGGGAAACTCGCTTTATGGCAACAAAAAAACTAACTGAAATCTTTCAGGGAGGGATCGTGAGATTACTCTACAAATGAAACTACAAACAGAGTTTAAATTTCCGCACAAAAAAATTTAAAATGGTTTATTATATTTCGTCAGACTGTATTCGGACTGCTAATTTTCGAGGCAGAATTTGCGAATAAAAAAGGAGCAAGAAAAACATGTGGTGTGCTCACTTCACTGCTGGCCTGTAAACTGAGAGGCTACTTGGAAAAGGCATGGTCGGGAAAGTGTCCTGGCCCTCAGTGCAAGGGGCTGCCCAGCTAAAACCAAGGGGCACAACTTAACTCCCACAAGGATGATGCAAGGTGTAAAGGGGGTGTCACATTAACCACAAACCTTTTGAGAGTATCACTCCTACATGTACACAACTGGAAATTGCCTCTGCCACAGATACACCGGTGAAACTTTAGAGTCCTTGTCAGTCAGGTCACAGACTCCATCCCCACGAACACTGTTCATCCCCAGCGCCCGGGTACTTGAAAAACAGTCTGACCATGGAGAAATAACATAACAAACCAATAAAACATTATTTCTCCATGGTCTGACATACCATGGAGGAATACCAAGGGCCTGGTAAGGAATTACTCTTCACTTTCATATGCCTAGCTAGCTGTTTCCAAGATGGCAAAATAATGAGTATTCCTCGGATACAAATTCGAATTATTTCCCTAGGGTCACTTTTTTTCCTCCACAGCGTGAAACACAAAGGAGCATACCCCCCCCCCTGGCGGCTGCCTTTGCTGACCCGAACATCATTTTGAGAGGAGGTGATTAACATCTGATGGCTTTGCAGGTGGCCACCTTTGACAAACTTTGAGTCCTCGCTCCTCTCAATGGTATGATCAATTCAGTTGTGGAGACATTCCAAGCAATGAAGCATGGTAAATCGAACCATCGAACCGTGTTCCTGATTTCACGAGCAATACGGCTGCCCCGCATGACTTAATTGTGACCTTGATGGCGCCCCATATATGGACTCGACTGGTACTAGTCGGCATGACTTGCAATTTTTGTGCAGCGCACTTACACTCTGTACTGCGTACGATACTGCTACACGCGTAACTGAGCTGAGAGTGAGCGGCAGTTTCGACGATTACATGTTCTTATCCGTAACATCGCTGTCACTGTCAAAATGTCGCAGACTCCGAGACGAATTGCACTGGTGAGACTTTTTTGAATGGTTAGATTAATTGGCGGCGTTTCCTTCATATGTAATGAACAATTTTTAACGGCAGTACGTGGTGTTGTCAAAGGGGCGTCGAAGGCTAGAGTAGAGGCCTCCGAATAGTATAGTTTATCTGGAAGTAATTTAGTTACTTGGCCTGGTCCAACCAATTTCAGGACCGAAACGCGACATAAGCCTTATCGCAAATACTGCATAGGTGATTTTAGAGAATGGTAGAAAGGCATGGTGGGATGGAAAAAGGGGCAATATTTGCTCCTTTTTCCTTCCCACAATGCCTGGTCTTTCTACCATACTGTAAAATCACCCATGCAGTATCATGCAGGTCAAGATCAAAGCCTCCAGTACTTAATCTTACACCTGCATGTACATGCAATCGCAATAAGCTTTTTGAGAGGTCAATTTAAATAAAATCTGGTATACAGAGTAAATCTGATTGCACATGAACGTGATAATTTGAATTCCCCAGACTAAAGACAGTGTTGCTTTACCTCATGATTCGGGGCAAGCTTTTGCAAAGCGACCACCCTCTCTGGATGCAATAGACTGGTTCCTTTGTGCCCTTCTTGTCCATTGAAAACAATGTATTGATGCAAGGCCTCACTGATGTAACTAAGCAAAAGCTTGCCCCGAATCAAGAGGTATAGCAACAGCGTCTTTAGTAGGCCTATGGAGAATTCAAATTATGTTCTCTTGAATTTAAAGAACTGAGTGTACCAGATTGTCTTGAAATTGAACTCGCAAAAGGCTTAATGGATCCACATGGCAAGCAGATGTTCCATTAGGCGTGTTAGGAGTGGTACAGCTGCTGATATTTATCTGCTGGTTATGGTGTGGAATTGGATTGAAGTGCCCAGATCCCTGCTTCATTAAAATTCAAGTACACAAAGGAAATTTGTAGCAGTGATGGAGTATTGCTCAGAATGACCTTAAATTTGTATGGTGCATTTTAATGAGGCTGGATGTCAATAAAACATGTAAAACCACAGTCCAAGCCGTAATTAAAACCAGCAAACAGAATCCACAAACTGCCTACATGCTCTTGTTGACATTCCAAATCACCCCGTTTTCGATGCGTCTTTAACTCTTGCCAAGTACGTGAGAGTCAATTAGAATTGAATGATTCATAAACCGGTCTGTTTCAATACATTTGTTGGGTAGTTTCTTCATGTTTGACTGTGTGTTTCCTAAGGCGTGCCTACTTTCGATAGAAATTCCTTCATCCAGTAAAACCTCAGGTCACTAATCACCTCAGGTCTGTAATTGTACTTCATCACTATAACATTTGTAGGACAACTAAATGGCGGGGAAATGTAATCAAATGGGATGCTTTGGACAGAAGTCAGCTTATTCCCAGTGTCTAGAATTTGTCAAGGCCAAGGCTGTGACCGAGTCATTACACAGTGTGGCCGAAGTGATTAGGCAGTCCCCAATAGGCCCTCTTTACTGAATGGAGAGTTATTTGTATCTGAGCTTGAAGATTTTGAACATTGGAACTGGCTATGAGCAAATGGAGAACCCTCCAGCAGAAAGAAAGGAAAGAGAAACAGAAAGTAAGAGAACTTCTAAGGCAGGAAAGGAGCTTAAAATCACCAATTCACTCTTTCTGGGGCGGTATTGACCACTTCCACCATTCACGGTTTATCAGGTTGATGCTCAAGCTTATGAGCACTTTGCCCCCCTCCCCTCATTCCTCCCCCCGCCCCTAAAAAAAATCATCCCAGCAAAGCCTATTACACCTTCCTGTTGTTACAGGTAACTGGAGCCAACAAGGGCATTGGTTTCGCCATTGTGAGGGCGCTGTGCAAGCAGCTGGACAATGGAATCGTCTACCTGACTGCCAGGAGTGAGGAGAGGGGGAGGGAGGCTGTGGCCAAACTCAGCCAGGAGGGGCTCCAGCCTAAGTTTCACCAGCTGGACATTACCGATCCGGCCAGCGTGACCAAGCTGAGGGATTTCCTGAAGGAGACGCACGGAGGCTTGGACATATTGGTCAACAATGCTGGAATGGCCTTTAAGGTACTACGGTACATTACAATCATACAAATGTTCAATTGCGCAACTGACACAGGGCCAAGTAGACATAGTTGTCAGATCGAGCCCAGGCCAACAACTAGATTGGTGACGTACTGAGCTTTCTCTGGAGAATCATGTCATATTTTTTTCACCCGACCTCTGATGTTGAAGTACTTTTTTAGAGTCGACTTCTCGCATCAAGCACCTTAACATCTACAGAGCTTCTGCCCTTTCTTTGACCAAAGTGGTTCCATTGCCAAGAGAAACCCCCCCCAAAGGAAAACAAGTGCGTCTACCGACCTGTTTAATTTCGTCAAGTTTGGTTTATTGTCGGTATGTAGGTGAATGCTACGGAATCATTTGGAGTTCAGGCATCAGTTTCCATGGCAACCAACTTCACGGCACTTTTGGAGATGAACAGGGTCCTCGTTCCACTTATCCGTCCCCATGGAAGGTAACACTTCTTTTTTGTTTGACATGAGTTTGAAAAGTCTAGATTAATAATTTGATGGAATTTGTTCAATCACTTCCGATGTTGATATTTTTTTCCAGCAAACTCTTTCGTGAAAGATATCTTACTTCACCAGACTTGAAATCAACTTTTCCATTTTTTTAAAATCTGAGCTCACGCAAATGACTCATTGAATTCTTTCTTTCTTGCCAGAATTGTCAATGTGGGCAGTTTTACTGGAAGGCTGTATGCCTTTGAAAAAATGAGCAAGGAGCTGCAAGGTCGTTTCCAAGGAGTCAAGACGGAACAGGACGTGGAGCAGCTCATGCAGGAATTTGTGACGTAGGTTGATTAAGGTCCAAGTTCACTGTCAACTTTGCACGCCATCCTGAAGTCAAATGACAGGTGTACCAAAAAGCTAAGGTTTTTCCAAGCAAATTGAAGCCCCCCCTGTCTGTTTTGAATCATTGGGCAACCGATGGGCAAGCACACTTTCTCAGATCTCCAAATATTTTTACATCGAAACAAAATCAGTTCTTCGTTCCTTGTGGCAGGACTTCTCTCTGGAAGTAATCCTTAAACTGAGAAATGAAGCAAACTGCATTAGGAATGCATTCTTAACCACTTCGTCTTCTCTCGTCATCAGATGTGCCAACGCTGGAGACCACATGAGCAAAGGCTGGGCAAACTCAGCCTATGCAACCTCCAAGATGGGGGTCATCGCACTTACCCGAGTCCAAGCTGCGGACATTGCCAAGGACAAGACAAAGGAAGACATTCTCATGACCTGTGTAGGTTTATCCCTTTTTTTAAATATCATTCACGCCCAATGTTATGTAAACTGAACATGAGACAGACTTGTAGAAAATGGCCGCAGATAGAAGCTCAGGTCTTTTTTTTTTATCGTCTGTCTTTTACAATAGTGCTGTCCAGGCTACGTAAGCACCGACATGTCCAGCTTCAAGGGAACAAAAACGATTGACGAGGGCGCCATCACGCCGGTCTACTGTGCCCTGCTACCGCCAGGCTCCGCAGAATTCAACGGCAAGATGTTCAGTGACAAGGAACTGTACGAGTTCTGGTAGAGAACTTGATTGACTGCTGGTTCCTAATGAATCATGGCCTTAGGACAAAGCTGCCATCCTTTCGGCGTTTGTTTTGCAGTTGTGGCCATCATAGAAAACTTTAATGCATTCATTTGTAGAGCTTTCTCTTCCACATGCGATCAGCTTTTTCAAAAAGTGGCACTTTACGTATATATTTTGGTGTAACCTAGAGTATTTTGCTTCAGGCAAAGTGAGTTTAGCCGACATGAAAAAGAAAAGAACTTTTTTAAAATTTTGTCTCTGAGGAAAGCTGTTTACTTGATATAGTTTGATTTAAATTTTTCGTGTGTTGGAAAAATAACACGACTGCAAATATATGCCCGGGAAAAAGATGACTTTCCATTCTATCAGATTACCCTAGAAGGAGGCAGGTTCCAGTTCTGCCCGATTACCTCAGGAGGTGGTTATTTCAGATAAAGATACCACGAGAAAGCAATTTGGCATGATGCACCGTTCAAACAGTTTACTTTACACAATGAGTGGGCTTTTGGAAAATGACAACCTACAGAGAACTCTAATAGAATAGCTATTAAACCACTTTCAATCAAACTGTTGTACATTTCTCAAAATCTTCACCACCAAAAAACAAGTAAACGAAAAGGAAAACAACACAAGGACATTGAAGTCGATTTACAAACCAAGTTAAATCAGCCTCGTGATTCATACTAATACGGCCGTTTCACAATAGTGCGCCACCAAGAGTTTGCAACGAGTTGGCCAATCAAAATGCGCGGAAATTTGTCGATCCAGTGCGCGTTTGGAATGGTCGACAAATTTTGCACGTTATGATTGGCCAGTGTGTTGCAAACTCTTGGTGGCGCACTATTGTGAATCGCCCGTATTAACCAAATAACTTTCAAGTGATCATACGATAACAGTGCAATCGTAGTCTGCTGTGTGTGTGGGGGGGGGGACAGATAAGTTAAAGCAAAAAATAATCTCCTGAATAAAGTGAACGATTTAATTTTTTATATCAATTTTTCTAACCAGTACATGCATTTAAAAAGTACCGTTGCATCCATCTCCTTTAAAATTTTTATTTCTAAAATTTCACTTGCAATAAAATATCAAAAAGCAAATGTAGTAAAATTGTGTTGATTTTTTTCATTGTACATGTAATATGAAATACAATTGTCGAAATCTTTAACTCGGTAGCCTGATTGGCAGAAGGTTTGCAGCAGTACTTACCAGATTAAGATGTTACACCCGAATTTTTAGACCAGTGATAAGATTTCTCGAAATTATTAGCGTGACGGCCAATGGTTACTGGCAGAAACAGAGGCCTATATGCGCCATCATTGTTCTATTTGGAGCCTCCAAAAACATTTGGGGCAAAGTTGAATACTTCGGAGAGAAACACAAAAGCAGTCTTCCCAATCTATATGCCTCATCGAACTTTTCAAAATGTTCTCATGAGAAATTGGGAATTACAATGTATTTTCATGTGGCCTACAGCAAAACGTAGTTGCTTATCAGCCACAAACAATATATTTACTTTGCATAATTTCGCTGGTAGTAAGCCTGTCTTTGCTGGGAAAGTATTCTCTGTCCCGACTGCCAAGTGATTTTTCTGTACTGGGAATCGCTGTGAAACTGTTCCCAGACATTACTGAAACAGTTGTATTTTCTTGAGGGATTTTTCTTGTATGATTTTTCGGAGGGGGGTCTGCTTTCAAGACTCATTGGTCTCAACTTCAAACTGAAACATCCCCCCCCCCAAGTGGCCTTATAAAAGGTGTGTGTGTGTGGGGGTCCATATTCGTATTAGGTTGCGTTTTGAGCAACGACTATTATACCCAGCAAGATATGAGACCGAGGGGTACCCCCCAACATGTCCAATCCCTATACACATTCCAGACTATTGGTACTTAATACACCCCCCCAAGATGTCTGAAAGGAATTCCCCAGATTCCTGCAAGACAATGACCAACACAAAGCAGGGGGGGTTCTTTCCGTCTCATACCTTGCTGCATATGACGACTATACTTAACAAAGTCCGACCAACACCACTTGATTGATGGAAGCATTTGAAACTTGGTCCAACAGCATGGTTGCACCCTTTCAATAGCCATTCATAATACCTCAGACAATTGAACCATTCCTGGTTCCATATATGCCTGGTCTTAAACAGCTGATGAAGTACCGACTGGCTGTTCAACACCTCGCGGAGAACGCGCCACGCGTGTTCCATTTTCACGGGGGCATTTCTTAACATGCACACAGCGGGGTGCTTACAAAGAAGTAAAATAGTTGAACTTATCGTTGGGAATTTGTAATGTTTGAATTTTGCTTTTAACTTTCTGATGCAAGAGGTATTCATGAAAAGGAATACATATGTATTCAGGAGATCCTCGACTGTCTTCGAGTGATGGGTAAAAGTGAGTTCAGTTTTTCCGCCCATCTACAGCTGTATTTGCCTAGAGCAAAGTCCAGGACAATGGTAAACAGGAAGGGTGCGAGGGGTTATCTCTTATTGTTAAGGAGAAACAACGAGGGCCGTTTCTCCGAGTGAAAGCACGTCCCTCCGCCCCCTACTATAATTGTGCATTATACAATAGAAGAAAACGTCTCTCCCGATGGCTTTGAGCCGTGAGACGAATTCCATCATTTGTCAAGCGTTAGTTGGCTATGTACACCTGAACGTATAAAAGCTTTACTCCTGGCCCAAACCGTTGACTATGTAACTATGATTGGTGCCAAGACATGCAGTCATGCAAAGGCATGCAGTCGGCACCATCGCAGGATGCAGCTTACGAGTCCAAACGAGTTTGAACTATGCTGTGTGCACGTGTACATGGAGAAGCTGCGGAAATCAGAGGTTCAAGATTGTCAAATGCTATCGGTGTGGCTGCACGGAGTTGGGGACTTCACAAGCAAGTTGGACGAACCGGTGATTTGGCAACTACAATTCATCACCACGTTCACAACCTTGCTTACTCATCGAAATCCTTCGTTCACCGTATGAAGTTCTTTTGTTTGGAAATACACGCAGTTGGATTATCATCTGGAAAGTATTGATAGGTAAGTTCTAAACAATCTATCTGTTCTGTACAGTTAATTAGACATGATCAGTTATCGTCATCGTTATTTTTTAATGTTTACTTTAATAAGAGGAGAGGTAAAATGAGGTGTAGCTGAAAGTAAATTGGCTAAATGCGAATTTTAAAAAGAAAAACAAACTAACACAAATAATTAAAATTATTTACAACTGGCTTATGACTTTAAAAAAGTAAAAATGACGAAAAAATGATGAAAATAAAACGGAAAGAGTGACTGTATAAAAAATGAACAAGACATATTAAAAATTTAAAGTAACGAAAGAAGTGTTTCACTTTAAATAAAAATCTGGATATTGGATATTAAATTCGAAAACTTTAGAGAAGACATCGACCTGCAGAACGCCTAAAGCGCTGTAATGTCACAGCAGTGATTTCTGTGGTCTACCAAATCAATTTTGATTCACCAGTTTATGAATATAGTTTACTGCACATTCTTAAAGGTACAGTTAACTGTAATTTTTTAATTCTTAAGAACAATTGAAACTTTTTTGAACAGGGTGACGTCACAAGAATGGTTTAAGAAAAGAATAAAGAGACTCCATAGTTATCACAGAAGATTATTGATAGGACATTCGGGTTCGATGTGGAGTTTAATTGGCTAAGCTCTCCGGCAGCTGAACCCCTAAGAATAATAATTTTTGAATTTGAAATACGAATTTTGGCTCTTTCGATGTTCTTGACCAAGAGCAGTTAAATTGGAAGAATTGGCGCAAGATAAGTAAGAAATTAATCTAAATTGCAGTATTGAAGATGGGAGCTAGTATTTCACTGAGCTGAAGCCATAAGCATATTGCTTACCCAAACAGATTTCAGCATAATTTAAAACTGCAGTGTTGAATGTTGTCGGTTTAACTTTAAAAAATATATATATTAAGGATGGAAACAATTCTTTGAAATGGTACATGAAATAGATATCCTAGTGATTGTAAGCCGGCATATTTTCGTTGCTTCAGTTAAGAATTATGTTATAGGACATCACCTGCCCAGAAAAACCATCAGATGGAGCTTCGCAGCAAAGACCAAGTGAGCCAACTATGTACTCGTCAATGGCTCATCTTGTTTCGGTTCTACCAGAACTCGTGTAGCTCCTTGTCGATGAACATCTTGCCGTTGAATCGACTGGAGCCGGGTGGTAGCAGGGCGCAGTAGACCGGCGTAGAGGCGCCCTCATCGACTGTCCTTTCCCCCTCGTGGTTCGTCATGTCTGTGGCCACGTAGCCTGGGCAACACTGTGGCGAAAGAGATTAAACTGTGGCAACTTCACTTCACGTAATGCAGTTTTCTACTACCGTCTACCGATACTGCAGACGTTCTTTTTATCTTCACAACTGTTCTTTGCTATGTGCCTCAACACATATGCCAACTCTGCTTGTTACGTTGGCACAACCTCATCATTGTTTTGTTACACAACTTCTACAGTCAAAAATGCAGGCTACGTCTACGTTGTTTCCGCACGTTATTCTACTGTGAAATTGATATTTTATAGACGCAGAGCCTTCTGGGAAACAAAAGATCGATTGTGCCCACTAAATCACGTGACCTATAGTGGGTATTACATATTGACAAACACGGCATCCACCAAAAGCAAAGTGTTTCGTAGGTATACCATTTATCAAAAATAAAGCCGACGGTTGGTACTGTACTCACACTACTGGTGTGATGGGTACTATCTGCCCTGAGCTGAAGTGCATCCTTACCAGCGAAAAAAACACAGAGGGTACTAATTTTTCCAACCGGGTTCTTGTAAAGCGTTCGGAGTGCACGCGAAGACCATATACCCCAGACTAAATTCATTGCGCGTACTCAGCGTGCTCGGCGTCAAACGCGCATTAATGTGAGCACCTGTGCGGTGAGTATATACCAAACGGCTGTCAATTCAAACTCAAAACACGCCCTCTTTTGTAAACACACGTTGCTATGGGGTTGATACCCACTTTAGGTCACGTGATTTAGCGGGTGCAATAAAAGATCGGTCCATTAACGCGCACGTCTGCCCACGAAGGTCGTAACTACGTCTACAGAGTACCGAAGTAATTGTTGTTTACAAGGCATTAGAGCGAGAACAGCGCGCGAACCAACACGCGCGTACTCCATTAATTTTGTTCACACTTTCTGGTTCACAATGACGTCACCCTTCGGTACTCTATACAAGCACACACTCACACCATGTTGCAGTTCCACCACCACATGGTGCAAGCAGGAGTGGTTTTAAGTTGTAACATCGCCACTCTTAATTTGAACCAGTCTGGCACACATCATTAAGCTTCAAGAAACGCACGTTTACGAGGCGGGCCCTATTGGCGTCGCATTATGCCTTTATACACGATGCTTCAAAATTATGTAGGTTTTTTAATACCAGAGGCGCGGTTGCCCTACGTTTTCAGGTAGGTAAGTTATCCTGAACGCTTCAGGTTTGCCATTGTTTAAATTTTAGAGCACTTAGCTATCATACGTGTGCATCAATATTCCGTCATGCACCCTTGGTAAAATTTCCACCCAAAAAGACTGTACTTCCCTTTATGTTGGCCTATATTCTTTGGACAGATACCACGGATAACGGCATGTCATTTCGACACCGCAGAATTTCCAGGATTATATCATAATACCCATAGATCCAGGATGTAGTCGGATCATATTAGAACGCGTTTATAGTGTGATTCCACCTACACATGTCATGAGAACATCCTCCTTTGTCTTATCCCTGGCGATGTCAGCAGCTTGGACTCGGGTAAGTGCAGTGACCCCCATCTTGGATACTCCGTAGGCGAATTCAGGCCAGCCGTTCCCAGCATGATTGCCGGCTTTGGCAAGACTAATGACAGTTGGAAAAATCAATGGTGGACGTGACATCCACTGACAAACAGTGTTTAATGGCCTCTGACCATCAATGACGTCATGTTGTAGGCCAACTGAGTATAATTATGCAGTGATTTGCAAGAGGGCACGAGCTAATTGGTGGTAACTCTTAAATATGTAATAATGCTGATAATGCCGAACTTGAGATTCGCTACTTTTTAAAACAAACTATCTACAGAAGTCATTGTCAAAGTAACCGTTTATTTCAAGTTAACAATTTGCGTTACAAACCAGGATAAAATTAAAATAAATTTTGTCCACAAAATATTCACGGTATGACGAAATCAGGAAATCGACAAAAGGAATTTTTGAAAATCTCCCCCAACGTGTCATGTACATGTATTTGTTTGTTGTTTTAAAATAGTTTACTGTATAATCCTTTATCTTGGGATCTATTTCCAACAGAAATGAACTTTGACTTGCTTCAACCTACGTCACAAATTCCTGCATGAGCTGCTCCACGTCCTGCTCCGTTTTGACTCCTTGGAAACGACCTTGCAGTTCCTTGCTCATTTTGTCGTATGTCCATTCCCCGCATATACTGACCAAGTTGACAATTCTGAGGGCACAACGGTAAATGCAGTTTCATTTTGTGATTTGTTAAAATCAAAATTTAAGAAAAGAAGTGATCTGTGAAAAATCCCCCGCAACGTAATGAAAATGTTGCAATTTTGGAAGGGATCACTTGAAATCTGGCCTAGAGACATTTCGTCATGGAATCTTCATTGCCCACAATACTTTTGTGGAAAGAGCTCAATGGGAGATTTTTGAAACGCTTGATGACTGTAAACCATAAATCTAATACTGGTTGATCCCACGTGACGGATCTGTCTTTGTTTGGGTTATTGTTTTTTAATCACCCAGTGGGAGATTTGGAGCCCGACCAGGGCATGGTCGCACTGTTGGTTTTCAATAGCTGAATTTCAATCTATCAGCTTGGAGGGAACCAGTCCCATGAAAAGAATCGCAAGATAACACTGACCATGGACGCAGTCAACGTTACAAATGTTAGTTGATGATGTTATTTTATAAAATAGTTCATCCAGGGCCTGTTTGAGTGTGACTGGTATGGGCATGCGCAATATTGAAAGCAGTTATCAGTCTCCGGTTGGTAAGTGTGACGTCACTTCAGTTTAAACCACGCCCACTGCACACCTGCACTGCTCATAGGGTTACATGCTTTGATCGCTGTTTACGTGGAACCATAGAACCGGACGTTTACGTGCAACTTCAGCGATTGTCCAATGAGAGCCTGCGAATCGTGGCGCCATCGTAACGAAGTCACTTACGAACCGGATACTTGAACAAGACGCCAGTGGCGTCTTGGGTCTATGGAGTGAAATGAACTTTTCCCAAAATGACTATCCTTCCGTTTCCCACCTGTATGGTCAGGTGGCAGTACCACCTTCAAAACACTGGCGCTTTCATTTCCTCTGACAGAAACAATGGCATAATGTTTCGCCGGGGCTGGCCCGTAATGTTTAGTTGATCGGTCACGTGGGACCAGTGTGATTTTTGCTGCAAGGCTTGTGCTGAAGTCTCTCTTACGAAAGCCCAGCCTCTCTTTGGTATTCGTTCTCAACCTCATGTTCCAAACCCCTACTCAACAAAATGTCTCCCTTCAGTGCCTCATTTAATTCAACTATTTTACCTTCCCTGAGCACGTATCAGCGGGATGAGAGCTCTATTGATTTTCAAGACAGCAGTGAAATTGGTTGCCATGGTAATAGATGCTTTCTCTCCAAATGTTGGGGATGAACCGTCCTGTAGAATATGACAAGCATTAAAGCATACAGGAGAGTATATGCATAGGAATTCTTGGAGACGATTTAACCGCTGTCGAAACCAAGGGGAAAAGCATTGTGTGGTACAGATTCAGGATTCCGTGCACGTATGTAAAGGGGGCTGTGCTCAAGCAACCTCGTTCCCACGTTATTTAGCAGAGTACCCCCACAGTTACCCGCTCTATAAAAGCTACGTCGAGAACAACCAAAGCGATGCCAAAAATGTGTACATTTTCAAATGCCAAGGAAATTGGGCATATCTTGAAAAGTTAGAAATTGCTCGATACCGTCACCTTGACGTCATCCTCACTTTTATCCACGACACTTCCCGTCTTTCAAAGTGCAATCTTTGACGAAATGGGAAAAGGTCAAGAGAAATTGTTTCCATAGATTTTAAAAATAAATAAAGAATAAAGTGATGCCGCTGTTTTGATAATTAACATAACAGACACATGACACCTTCCAGATTGACATGTGCAAGACTGGGGGACACATCAGTCATGTTATTATTCGAAAGCTGGTCGAGGATTCCTCGATCAGCCCACGGTGATAAATAGTTACCAAAGTAGCTGTAGAGTCCGTAGAAGATGGCTCCTTTTCACAGTCTAAACTCAGCGTCATCTGTCCTTCACAGATGGTAACCGTCACTTCCTGTATAAAAACCAGCGGGTATAATACCGTTGTCTTCAAATGGGCACCCTCGACGCGAACACGTCTATAACCCGTTCAACAAAAGAGCTAGAGAAGGTTAAATGAGTGATATTCTTGACGATTCGATAAGGATGGCTGTGGGTGTGTGGATAATATTTGTATTGGGTGTGATGGTGCATCTGATGACACGATATCCACTGCTGTCAATAAACGAACCTTTTACGCAGAAATTCCATCTTTCGGAATGGGGCCAAAATGTATTACAGTACAGAGTTTTTGTGTGGCAGCCATCTTGTAGGGCAGTTCTTTCGTTCCACAGGGAAACCTCCACTGTGCGTATCCTGTGGAACCAAAGCAGTGGCCTGCAAGGTGGCAGCCATGCAAACCCTCTATTACTTGAATAATGTGACAGCTTCAGCGTCCTTAAGTGGAGTCATGGGCACAAAAGGAGGTTAAAAAAGAAAATTCGGTCTAGCTGTGGGTAAGGAAACCGAGGATTAGAGTTGAGGCTGTTCGATACCCAGCGAGAATCTCATTTACGTTTTCCTTCCATTTCAGGCTCTATCAGTTTTGCAAGGCTTTGGTTCTTGATGCTCAAATTTGCAGCCTTGAAGTTTGTTTTATTTTAGGACAGAGTCTCACGTCAACGCGCTCCCGATCGGGTAATATCATAATATACTTTGGCCCTGTTCCGAACGGGGGCATTTCTATGTAAAAACCTCGTTTATTAAAAACGGCGGTCAGGTCGTTCGCTCGAGTAGATGGTGAACAGTGAGGGTGGAGTGCAGTGACTGATTGGTGTTCAGTGTCAGTGATCACCTTGTAACGCTAATGCGTAATGCATTGGATTTTATCTTTTGCTCTCTTGATTTGGGACCGTTGGCGTCATGGAAGTAAATAGGTCGGAGCGGAAAATGTCTAGATGTAATGTAGATGGTATAATGATGAAGTGACACTAGTGGAAAAAAGGCCAGAACTGAACTCAACTTTGGAAATTCCTCTGCAGCTTTTTAAGAACAGAGTTCAATTTAGATTGAGTTACTTGCACCTGTTTGGAAATGTTTTGAGATGATAACTGTTTTTCCCACATGAGTTGGGACATAGATAGGACTTGTTGTTTTCTTTGTTGGTCGCACTGCAAAAATTTGAATTACTTTGAAGGCGATTCCAGCATTGTTAACCAGTATGTCCAAGCCTCCGTGCGTCTTCTGTAGGAAATCCCTCAGCTTGCTCACGCTGGCCGGATCGGTAACGTCCAGCTGGTGAAACTTAGGCTGCAGCCCCACCCGATTGAGTCTGGCCACGGCCTCCCTCCCCCTCTCCTCGTTCCTGGCAGTCAGGTAGACGATTCCATTGTCCAGCTGCTTGCACAGCGCCCTCACAATAGCAAATCCAATACCCTTGTTCCCTCCTGATACCTGTAACCATAGTAACATGAAGTAAACTTTTCTGGGCAAAGCCATCCTTATATTGCTTGTTAAATACATATCTACTTTTCAGAATATACAAGTGCGGCTTGAAATTTTTTTCCTAGGGGGTGTTTATCGATTTCTTTGCTTCAAAAAGTGACAATCTACTTTTAGTGTGGGGCAGCCAAGAAAGGTTGATGGAAACATCAACATTATACATTCAGCGAACTGAGCTTCTGATTAATTACAAATTAAAGACTTTTCATGAAATCTACTCTGCTGTGAGCAACTTTTGTTTATAAACAGACAGAAATAATAACATAAGGAGCACATTCCTTTCCGAACAGTATACGAAATTTGTCAGTTTGTAATGACCAGGTGTGTAACCAAGTCACATTTCCCAGGTCAAATCTCAGGTCATATTTTCCCAAGTTAAGTTGAAAGTCAAATTTTTCCCAGGTCATGTCTCAAGTAAAAAAATACCGACTCGAGTCTGAGTCACCGACTCGAGTCAGAAACATTGGTACTGACACTCATCTCGAGCTCAGAAATACAGTTAGGAACAAGGCCTAAAGTCATCCAGGAATAGCTGCTAGATTTTTTACTGAAGACGTGGAAATGACTAGAATCTTACCACTGCAACACGCTGAGCCTTGGACATGGCTGATTTCACCACAGACTCGTTTGATGCCAAGAGCAGTGATCCTGCCTGTTGGCAACGGTTGAAATGCACAGCGACGGTGTGTAAACGGGTCGGTTACGTTTTGAACGCCACAGGATCGCTCTCAAAATAAAAGGATCCAAAGAAAATCAAGCGGTCCTCTCACGATAGCCGGGGGCGTTCAAATGGTTGATCTCTACCCAAACATCTCAAAGGTCAAGGATGACAACAAGCTATGACTCGACTGCTCTATGCGTAACACTGACAAATACCATGCGCCTATTGACCAGGATATGATAAGGAATAATGTTTACGCCCCTAAAGACATAAACTGATTGGTTGTTTTTCTAAAAAGCACAGCTGGACCTATTAATTGATCACTAAAAATTTATCATTAAACGGGAGATAAACACATACTTTTCAATAAATGGATGAATATTACTCGGTCCCATATACACGTTACAATACTCGTACTCACCAAACTGGTGCAAGCCTAGTTTCGATCAGACGTAATACAAGACGCCTTAGTGTGATGCGATCTGCCGCCCGTGATCACTGTTCAGATCTTTTGAAGTTTGAGCCACTGACACGTCGTTGGATCAGTAACCGCTGGTCTCGATCTCAGTGCTGCTCCCGGTCTCGGTATTTTTTACTGGTCTACGGTGTAGACCCGAGTTTGTCGAGACCAGCAATGAGTGTTGTGTATAATGCTCGATTAGATTATCTGCGTTCGGCGTCGTCACTGTTGCGATCAGACGAGCGAGTTGCTTGTACACTGCCGTACAAGGGTCAACATTATTTTATTCCACACGCTGTAGATATGCACATAGAAATGATCTACAACAAAGTTGTGGATAATTGACACAAACAGATTCGGTTAGTTTTTATAAACGTGCAGATCATGTTTAAACCAAGCGGGTTTTTTTTTAACGGTTACAGAGATATTCGTTAGTGCATGACACGCGTTGCTATGCCACCAGTTCTGTTGTAAAGACAGCGGCTAAACAACATGTGGAAGCATTTCGAGCGGTGAAGACATTAAGAAATGAGTTAAACTCTCTTAGAATGGATCTGATTACTTTCTGCACCTTAAGACATGGGGGAAGCTAATCTGGCCTCGATAAAAGAATTAAGCCACAAGCCATTTTGGCATGTATTTTATACTACATTCTATGTACCATTTCGACAGAGTTCTTGATCTCGGTACGGTCTCGGGCCGTCTTGGTCCCAGTCTAGGAACACCACACAGGTCGCAGTGTTGGTCTCAAGTCTGGTCTCCCTAATACAATTACCCTGCTGTACTACAGAATGCAAAAGAAGTGATTGGACTACGTGTATTCGCATTAAAACCATGGCAGGTGGTTTATTGGCCTTGTGAACTATCTTTCAATGCGACCGACATACATACATTCACAATGTGCAACATAAAAACTGCATGTAGCAATCAACGTAGAAATTCCAAGTCATCGCGTGCAACATAAAGAAACTGCGTGTCAAAACACTCAACACAAATGGTGCAGGTCAAAACACGAAACATAAAAACTGCATGTCACCACATGCAATAAATTTCCAAAACAGAAAGGCTGCAGATCACAGCTTGCTACTCAAGGAAAACCTAAGTCAAGATTTGCAGCATAAAAAAGTCGAATTCGTAGGGGGGGTAGCGCTCCCTTCCCCTCCCCTCATAACTTTCCGATGATTTTTTTATTCTGTTTACTTAATGCAAAAATCCCCAGGGAGAAATGAAGGATTTTGGTATCTAAAAATTGCATTTAACTATACGGTACATTAAATTTCTGGCTATACGAGAGATTACTGATCACTAGAGCAAAAGTACATTACAGGCATACACCTGCACGTCTGTTTGGGAATATATGTGTCAATACTTATATGTGAATATCTGTATTATGTATTAAAGCCTTTCGATTTTACTTTCATGCAGTTTCCAGAAATCTCAAGTTTTCTTTTTTACTGGTGGCAAAGAACTTTTGTCGATTTTCACATGGAAAGTTGTAGTCGTGTACTTGTACTCGTATATACTCTTAAAGTTACTCGTACTGTACTCCAGCTAGTACGGAAATAATTCATGAATAATTATTGTACTCATATTCTTGGTTAAGTAGTCGAACTCGTATACCAAGTACTTTTACGTATTCAGTACTAATGGCACGGACGTATATAAAAAAACGGCTCGGAAAAATGGCTGCGGGTTGATTCAATGACTCTATAAGCTGATTAAGGGCACTGCGAGTCCAGATTTTATTATACACGTCCGTGACTAATGGGAGACTTTGAGACGGTGGTGGCAGCAGACATACCCATTCTATTTGCACGTAGAGTTCATGTAGTTCTACTTATAATCTCTGTTTTTGTATAGTATTGCGCGTGTTGAGAACTACGCACGCATGCTCAGATTAACGCGCGCATGCTCAGAATTGTTAAAAAGGACCCGTGTGTTTAGTTGCCTCCGAGCGCCTCAAAGTCTCCGATTGAAATCTAATCGATTACAAAACTGGGTAGAGCTAAGGCTACTAAGACAGGACACACAAGTGCTACAATGGGTATAAAGGTAATTACGCTGCATGTTCAACAAGCATTTACTATACTTGGGTGCTTCATAAATATCATCTTAGTTTTTCAAACATGCTACAATCACAGCTTATACGCTCTATAAGATTAGAGTCGGCAAATTAACAATGAAACCGAAACGAAGTGCTGAGTGGAGTTGGAAGTTTGCCATCCTGGAATGATTGTAATTGTAGTCTGATTTCCCCACCTGAAACGTGATTTCCACCCTTCTGTCCCCTTCCTTTTCTGTTCTTGCCGACGGCTCGACAATTTGGCATCAATACCGACTCATGAGGGGTACGTCATTAAACCACACCACCCTTGAACGATGCCGTGGAGACTTGATGCTTAAATTTAAGGCTGTTTAAAAGAAAAACCAGGACGCCTGAGTAAAATGTTGTGTTTTTGATACACATGCATGTACTTTGATAAAGATAGAAGTATGTATTTGATAAAGGTTTAACTCTGCATACGAAACAAATATACACTGTCTGTATATATGTACTTTTAGGTTTCGTTTTAGTTTTCAGAACGTGCTACTCTCAATGCTTGTACTTTCGTTGCATGCCTTTTTTGAGATTGAACTTGCGAAGTTCCCCAGAAAATATTTCTTTTCAAGACAAATTTCTAGGCAATTTCGTTTTATTAAAACCGAACCAGAGCACAGGATATGTACATGCACAGAAGTGGGACCGAAGACTATTGTAAGTGCCGCGGGCTGGCCCTCTGCGGCTTCGTAAATTCAAAGATAATTAATGGAGGATATGCTGCACTGCGTGTTCCGTTTGGTAGGACAAGCCGAACGTGAGGATTAGTAACCATTACGGTAGCGACGCCTCGCTCCTGCACAAGGCAATCGTATGTACGCGCGCGTTCAATACCTTTTTTAACGAAATGGGGCTTAGAGTTGCGCAATTGCAGGCCCTCCCAGAGTCTGACAACACCCTTTGTGTGAGTTATGTGCTGTCGTTTTGTCTTCCTGTTGGTTCTTCTTTCTTTTTAAGTACGAGTGTGTTTAGAAGTGTGTCTAAACTCTAACCGTTAATTGTTTTGACTGTGTATGCTCAAACAATAACACGGTATGAGCCTCGAGCTGGACTAAAAGAGGGCGTATTTTCTTAGCAACGGAGGCTCTTTGGCCGTGTCCGAATTACTTTGCTACGGCTTGACACTACACACGATTCTACGCGAACTGGTCGCGGCCACTATCATAGACTCGTGCGTAATTTCAGGCCACAGCCAAGTAATTCGGAGTCGCAACTGAACTTCGCTGGTTCACGAACGACTGTAAAATCAGCGCGTTGCGGTGACATCGCTACCAACAAAATGAACACTCCCGATCAATATGGCTCTTTTCGACCAATGAGGCGGTGCATCTGCTCGAGGAAGGTACATCATGACAGCAATGATATGTGCCGTTTTGCCAATTCAAGATTAGGAAAGGTCATGTTAGGCATATTTGACTGCAGTTCACGCCTTGCGACAGCAAGCCACGACAGCTTTGAGTGCATTAGACGGCTCTTCGATCTGTGAGCACCGGCATCTCATCATACGGCGCAAAACCTTCTTGAACTGTGGATGTTTGGCGGCGTATACGATCGGGTTGACGCAGCTGTTGAAGGTAAAGACCACGCCCAAAAACAGAAGGCATCGGTCGGTGTCGGGGATGAAAAGCGCCACGCAGTACGGAGTGATACAGAGGAAGAAGGCACAGACTGCCATGAAGAGATTCTTGGTGATTTCGAGCTGCTGGCGGTAGACACGGTCGCTTTGAGCTGTCTTCAAGGCATCACTGCTGTCAGACACCACGAAGCTAGAACTGCCCGTGGTAGCACAAACCGGGCCGGTGTAGCTGCTCGCAACTCGCATGGATCTCTGGGCCTGGAAGTGGCGGCGGACGTGCAAGAAGATCATGGTGTAGCAAGTGACAATGGTGATGAAAGGGATGGGATACCCGACGGAGGTTTGGATCCTCTTGAAGGTTTTGGCCTTCGGATGGGTATCCAGGTCACTGCAGGTGTGATGCTGCTCGTCGTAGCCGAACCCTCCAATGCCGAAGATCGGTGGAACGATCATCGTTGCAAAGGCAACAAACCAGATGGCTACCACGATGATGACTACATTGCGCTTGGTGTAGAGACTACGGTAAAGAGTCATCGGGCGCTTGATGAGGATCAGTCTGTTCAGGGCGATAGAGGCCAAGTTGTAGAGACTAGCACAAGAACTGACAAAAAGTAGTAGGCCAGCTAAGTAGCAGGGAGTCTCGGTGGACCACGGCCAAGTGTTTCCTGGACTGAGCAGTCCAACAGCGCTCATGGGTAATGCCAGGCCTGTCAGAAGATCAGCCACGCTGAGACTGACCACGAAGACATTGGTGGATGTCCGCAGCTTCTTACTGCACACCACGGCCAGGATGACCATGGTGTTACCTGTGACGTTGAACACCGCGATCAGGAGCCAGACTACAGCGACAACGACTCTCTCGGGGTAGGTCTGCAGAGAGTGACTAACCGTTGTCGTTATGTTTTCCATCCAGAAAACAGCGGTTGAGTTGTTGGAGACATCGGTCGTAGAAGAATTAGCAGAAAAGGCCGTTGTGGTATTGCCAGACAAAGCCATCACTGCAGCGCTGGTGTCCATTTTGCTCTCGACGTCAAGGTTGTTGACATACAGTGCAAACCTGTAAAATAAACATTAATTTTGGATGAAAACAAACAGTGATTCGATACGGTAATAGTGTTGCACGACAAATCAACAACAGCAATGGCAGAAGAGAAATTATCATTGTCAAATAAGTCGTTCGTTAGGTGCGGAAGTCTGCTGGTCTGTTGTGCCTGGTAAAAATGTTTTCTTCTCAAATATCTGTCCATTTTCAATTGCTTTGTGTAGTCCAAAAGAAATACTATATCTCTCCGGCAACTTCATGTAAAATAAATTGAGGGTGGTGGGTTGAATAAAAAATTATTGCCACATTAAGCAATTAAAATTTGTTTTGATTGAAAGAAATCTTTTGAGGAAAGATAGTAGTGTTGATAGTGATTAAAATACCAATCCCAAGGGAAAACGGGTAATAAAATAAAACAGATACAATAAAATTGGGACTGGAGGTTAAATTTGTCCATTCGCACGACCTTTTACCGATAACGGGTTAGCAGAGACTGAAGTTTTTCCCGCTGGGCCTTCTCACAATCGAAATCAAAACAAGTTCAGAATGCCGTGTTTGACCAAATGATACCAAGTTTCCTTCTCACTATGGTTCATTCTTCGCACACACGGGTGCGGTTAAACGCACCGCTCATGTTACCGTACCGTTGGTCGTCAATCGGACAGAGAAAATAACCAATATTCGTGTTGAATTTAAACAAACTGGCGGCGAAAGATCAGACCTACTTAAATCAGAGCTTTAAAGATGCCTGCCGTTGTCAATATCACTGGGGCACTATCATCGACGTGGGCCTTCACTTGAACGCACCATTATTTTATTCCCGCCCAATCGGTGTGATATTTTGTGTAGAAAAAAGCTAGCTATATGATCGCAATTTCAGAAATAGTTCCGGTGAGGGAAATAATAGGATTCACCCAATGGCTTTTTTGGCCTTCCACCGTCTTCCTTCGTTTATTCCCTTCATCCACCACCAATATCCCGCGCTCTTTCTTTTCACCTGCCCAAAGTCTCACAATCTTTTACCTCGTCCACTTCACTGTGTGCAATGACCCTGTGACCCCTGGCAGCCTGCCCAAATACATGTACACAGTTATTTTTAGACCTTGCCCAGACGGGTGAGCGCCGCCATATGCACATATGTATATTTATACACACACAAAAAGCAATTCCCCAACATTTTGTAAGGATTGTGATACCGATAAATACCTCCCTCAAGAGTTGAATGCGATGTCACATGACAAGCTATAGCGCGTCTTGAGGACCAGCCGATTGTATTCGGTTGTCACACAATGCGTCGATCCTCCTTTGGCATATGTGTCGATTAATTGGTTTTTGTCGATGCAAAAGAGGAAATCGTTGAGTTGTGATTGGGTAAATGAAGCACGCGCTAGGTCATTACTCTCCAAGGAGATGGCTGGGAGTTATTGATTAAAAACCTAAAGCTGAAGCAAAACATTTCGTCGTTTAGTCAAAAGGAAACAGTTTTTGAGAATGCGGAACGTAATAATGTCTTCCGAATCAAGGTCAGCTTTTTATCCATCTCTTTTGAGCTAATAAACTAAAATTAGGATAACTGGCTGAATACAGGCTGGAGAATCTTCAGACGAATGACGCTATTCCTGGCTGTGTATGATACTCTCAACGTTGAATTTCATGATTTTACTGCTTTACTGACACCTCCACTGCAAAGATCGAAATTTCCAAAGAAAAGATCCCAAATTGGGTCAATCAAATATGAATTCACCCCAAATGCGTGCAGAGTATTTGTCTGAAATCACTCGCTCGATTTGTTGTTGTTGTTGTTTTTGTTGCTGTTGTTGCTGTTGTTGTTGTTGTTGTTGTTGTTGTTGTTGTTGTTGTTGTTGTTGTTGTTGTTGTTGTTGTTGTTGTTGTTGTTAAGGTCCCTCGTATCATCAGACACAGGCCGAGGTGGGTGACTTTCTTATTTTAAGTACATGTAACACGTCCTTTTTTCTAAACGGCCATTGTGTGATTTTTTTACTTTTAAACGGTCTAACATCTCATAAGCCCCTCGTATGATTCGCAGATCCAATGAGAGAAGGGCAATATACGGGAATATTTTTACCCTCAACAACACGCTCCAAATGCCGACGTTTTGAAGCTTAAAATATTCTACTTCGCTGTCCAAAGGAACCCTTTTGTAATCTGAAAAGCGTGTGACCTGATTTACGTTGTCTCATGACTCTTGGTCGAGATTTCTTTAAAGTGAAGCTGCAATAAATGTTTCTTTGACACAACTTTGCTGCATCTTTGTACGTGTCTTCAATGCATGAAAATTCTTCCGCACTCCTAATAGGTTAAACGCGATGAAAAATGCACACTTTTAAACAATCAAAATTATCAACGTTTTCCCTGACAATTGAGGGCGCTGTTGCTGTGAAGTCATCTAGGGAAGACAAGGCTCAGTGCATATGTATATCTGTTCAAAATTGCGAACCCAGAATTTACTAACTGATAACATTTCTGAGAGAGGGATTTATGTTTCTTATTGCTATGCACATAAACAACAATGGATCAGTTAAGAACAGAAAACGTAGTCCAGTAAAATCTACAAAAACGCAGAACTTTTTTGTGTACAAACCAATGTAACATTGAGGCTTAATTCTTCCCAGGATGACATCGCAGTTTTGCTCATGAACACGGAAATACTCATTGGCATAAAAACCAAAAAGGCATTTAAATATCTGTTCAAATGGTGAAACCAAAGTTTAAACTAAGGTTTACAAAGGTAGATTTTACAGGTTTGTAGTAAAAAAAACTGATTGCAGCTACCCTTTAAAGTATGATGTTCATGTACTTCCTTCTGATGAAATGGTTAAACTTACCACAGATTTTAATGATGCTCGGCGTGTTCGGTCTGCCTCTGTGGCTACCAATTCGCCAGGAAGTGCTACCAGTCCGATTTGTCGGCACAGCAGGGACTTGCATCGGTTGGTCACTGCTTTTGTGTGTCGTATTGAGCCATGTGTCGATTGAACAGCCTATCCACCGTGGCTTATTGGTAGCCTTCCGCCAAGTGCCGACTGAACATTCTGTCCAATCAGCCTGCTGCTAAAATAGATTTGCTATTGCATGTACGCTGTGGTTGGGTGATTTCGAATGAACCTTTTGGATGTTCTATTTCCATTGTGGCGTTGGATGACAAACAAGCCATGCATATGGGTTTTATGTTTAATGCTGTAGAGGAAACGAAATGCTCTTTAACATGAGACATATATATTTTACTACCAGTCCTGAAGTATGCTTTAGGCCATGTTTCCCTCACATGGACCTGGATAACGATCACTGATCCGTCGTTGGTTTGCAGATGCAAAACTCGCCTGTTGGATGGTGCGAACCAGCACCGTTACGAACACCGATCGCAACCATGATTGTGACACCGTAAACTGACCCTAGTTTTAACATGCAGGCAAAGTTTGTTCCTTTTTCCTTATTAACAGAAAATAATTCATATTGTGTGAGTGTTGTTTTTCAAATGAACGCCTTCTTTGTTTTATTCTCTTTTCCCGAAATACAGAAAAATGCTCCAAGAAAACAAGTCTTAAGATTGTTCTGCATCGTCGGTGGGCTCGTTACAAGAAAGGCCAATGGAAATTTTTCTCCTAATAAGTTAGTGAAAACTTCTCAATGTTCCCTACTGGGCCTTCAAATTTGCATTCTAAAAGCAACGAAGTGGATCTCGAATGCCCTAACCAAATTAAGGTAAGCCTAAACCTGAATGGCCAAGTACTATCAGGGTGCCTCACTTAGTTAATTTAAGGAATTTACATCAGAACAATATTGGAAAACATGTACTGCTCCATCGATGTTAGTTTAAAAAGATCCACCTGTGATAGTGTACGGTCTTTCGTTTACTCAAATGAAAAACAACTTTTTCGATGTTTGGCAACAAAACGAACGGACGCCATACGTACACAGACCTTTCTTTTGTTACACCACAGAAGCACAAATTTTGCCAACACAGTGGAAAAACCCTGGCCAGACATGAAAACAAAATCGTGAAAAATGAATTTACAGAGTTTTAAATATATAGTGCCAATATTAAAACCCTACAATGCACAGTTTGCGCCCTATTCCCTCCTTGGGAGAAAATGCCAGCAGTTCCTCACACACTGAACGAGAGGGTTTTTTGTGACAAAGTCTAGGCCCATACTGACAATGAATTGTAGCCACCTACTTCACTGGCCTTGTTAAAGAAAACTGATAAATGTGGGTCCAACCCTGACCGGGACTCGCTTAATCTGGAAGGGCAGGTTCTTTGTAACAAAGCACACCGACAAGGAAGTCAAAGGCGCCACGCTTCATTTGCGCGTAAAAACGGTAAACATCATTGTTGGTCTTCGCAAGCAATGCATTGTGCTACGTAAATTGTGACGCACTCTCTGAAAATGAGCCACTTTGGAATTATAGGCCTTTGAAAGAATCTTGCAGTTCGTAATCAATATGAATCCTCAACTGGCATTTTTAACATCAACACAACGTCTTCTTTCATTGTACCAAACTGAGTGACACATCATCAAAAGAAAGAGCTCAAATTTCTTCAATCTAATACAAGGTAAAACTTAAAAGTAGCTCCGGAGACTCGTGGCTCGTTTTTGCAATTGGGTCACATATTATACCTAACATAGAACTGCTATTGATATTATTTATGCCTACAACACACCCTTGCCTGTGAACGTACTAACGTTCAATCTAGTCGTGCAGTCGCACCGATCTGGTGACCCACTTCCGCCTTGATGACCCGACCCTTGAAACTGAAGAAAATAATTAGTTCTTGTAAATTTTACAAACTTGGTAAAACATATATCGCCATAAACGTTCCCTTCCCTTCGAGGGAGCCTCTTTTACATGATGACGCGGTCATTCCTCAAAGGAACAATGCCATACATTTTTCTCACAGAATCAATTTTTGTAGGCCTACATGTTTAATTTAGTTAAGTGGTAGTTTGGTATAATTCGGTCAAGTGCTATGCGTGTTGCACCACATAGGGAAGACTAGTGTTCCCAGCTCGCATACACAAAAACAGTGTGGTCTTCGAAAACGATAGACGGAAAGGAGGTAAAGGGTCAAGTATCGACGAATACTCCCGTTTGGGGGGGCTCTTTTTTCTCTCGTTTATACCCAATCACATCCTGTAAGCCCGGAATAAGTGAAGATCGCATGACTATAGGCCTCATTGTTTCAAAACCCAGACTGTTGCCCGAGATTTCGTCTTCCATATCGAAGGAACTTGAACGTCTGAGTACTATCCTTCGAAGAGGGAGTTCAAAATTTACACCTATAAAGTGAGAATGTAGGCCTATCCGATAGAATAGATCTAATGTCAAGCAAAAATTGATTGCGATCACCTAATCTATACCGTCAAATATGTGGGCCTATTTGTCCCAAACGCGGATCCAGATATTATCGTTGGTTAACTGACAACAGAACCCAGTTCATGGATGAAGCGAACCAGCTTTGTTCGGAAACACGGATCTGAACGTTAACACGCATGTGCACGCGTGGCATACCTATAGTGTAAACCTCTGCACTAAAGAATTCCACATAGTGTAGGGTGCGATGTGTGAGTACATGGATGCGTACGTGTGAGTAAAAAGTCACACGCTCCCGACGGGCCGTGTTCCCTAACATTAAAAGATTACCGATGCATATCGTGACTTGCATTTTTCATATGGAGTAACTGCAGGCCGCAAGATTTTATGAAGACTTGCCGACAAGTCGTGTTAAGTAGTCGTGTTCTAATTTGCCCTTGAACTTCAGCAGTCGCAATCCATCGGCGCAGCTGTAGCATAAATCCGTAAGATGGGGACGAGGCAAACAATGTTCCATTAGCCTTTTAGGACTATGGCGGACACATTAGGAGGGCGCTATTTGGTTTGGGTAAAATCTTTTGTGTTTGCTCCAAATTTACCCGCTTCAAATAGCGCCCTCTTATTGTGTCCGTCATGCTTCTAAAAGGCTAATAGTGCGTAAGTTTAAACGGAACACATTGCATGCGCGCACGGAGAGTAAAATCAAACCAATCGCCGACTTTGCAGCAAGTCTAGTTTTTGTAGGGCATGTTGTGTCTGGCAATTTTATGCATACAAATCGTTTGCATTGAAAAATTTCTCCACAGAGAGATCATCCACCGTTGAGGGGTTAAAAGTCACTTGGTTCTTTCACATTCTGTCGTGCAGTTCAAGCGTTGTCAGCGACAGGCACAAAAGTATATTTGCTGATGCTAAATAGGATACGACACGCATCTGATGTGTCATCATCGACCATGTCCAACACTCAGCGCGTTGCAGTGGTAAGATTCTCCTCATGTTAAAGTGTAATTGATTCATTTATAAAGCAGAAATTCCGTACAATTATGTTAGAAATGTGGGGACAAGTGAGGCATTAAACTACAGCGTAATAGGTCCTAAGGCAAAGATAGGTAACACCCTACAGCGGCTGCCATGGTGTGTCCATGAGAGTCACCATTAACGAAGTGAAACAAAATGCATCCTGATGAGGTAAAGCGAACCTTTTCGTTTTACCCCGGTGACAAAATGGCGCGTCAAATAAAATGTTGTCTTGACTGACGTTTCTTTTCCTCATTTCGAAAATGTTTGAGAGGTTACCCTCATGCTCAGAGACTTCTGTCGTAAACCAATATAATTAACTAGCAAAGATTAGCCTAGCTCCAAAAAATAAATAAATAAATAAATAAATAAATAAAATGGGTAGATTCATCAGCACTTCGGAAGAATTCATAATATTTGGGCTTCAAGAATGCCTGGTTTCAAATAAGGCTTGTAGTTTTGTCAGGGTACAATAAAGATTGACGCATAATAATGAATGTATTTTGACAAAATATGTAATTCCAGAAATTAGGGGTCCATTTTTTTTTCGTGTCCCCGTCATATCTTACATATGACTTTGTGAATTCAGAACAAATTTTCTGATTTCCAAGAGTGATGAATAAATACAAAATACATGCCAAACAAATAGTAATAGTTTGAAATCAGTTCCGGTGATATTTCCAGGTCAAATAACAAAGGTCAGGTGTAACAGAGACACAAAATTGTCACACTTTTGGACCCCTAATTTCTGGAATTACCCAAATACAAGCACATTTTTCTTGAGGGCCGTTTTTACCCTTCCAACCGGCTGCTCCGAATGTAAGCCCAAGCCTGGGGGGTAAAACCGACGAGGGGCATATAATTCTCAATTTGCTTGTTACAGTGGCATGCGGTACTGCCGCCAAGAAAGCAACCACTGTTACAGGTGCGCCTGCTTCATTTAGAGGATCTGTGATATTTGGAGATCAACTTGACAGTGCGTAAGTTTGCTGTTTTGCAGTCCTGCAGAGGTGTTGCTTAACTCTCTTTCTCGTCAACTTTTGTACATGTGTGTTTGTTTACTTTGATTGTAACGTTTGCTTGCAGAAATTAATAATTGAAATGAAATGAAATATTTACAATTAAGAACATATCTAACAACTGCTGTAAACTGCTTCCTGACTAAAGTGACCCGAAATACAAATCACAAAATATGGAGGGCCTGATATTTTAATCCTAGCAGAATCTTTCTCAAAGGCAAAATCAGGTTAAATTTTCGAGTTAAAAGGGTTAAATTTACATTTAACCTAAATTTTTCTGACTTAAGGTAAGGAATACCGTTTTACCCTGGTATCCCCTACTTCTGTTCATCACCTTACTTTGCTCACAGAGCAGATCGTCATGAAAACTCTTATCTTTTATTCAATCCCAAGCTCTAGTGGCTGAATGAATGATGCTGGAATCAAGGGTCTCTGCCCACCTTCCCTCCACCCAAACTGGGACTGTCACTTTCTAGACGAGAGGCCCCATCCATAAAGTGCGTCAATGATAAAGATCTTTTTAGCAAACAATATCCCATCCTGAAACATCAAGAACTGTGACCAAACTACGCAGTTAAATCCGGGAAAAATAGTCATCTGCTCCAGGAGGGACCAAGAGAGGGCGCAGTTTTCCTAACAATGGAGGCCCCTGTGCTTCGCTGGTTAACAAACGAGTATAGAATTTACGCGTTACGGTCGCGTGGATACCGACAATTTTGAACACTCTCCGCCAACATGGCTCTTTTCAACCGATGACAGGGGTGTGTACTTGTGCTCAAGGAGGATAAGCACTTTGCAAACGACCACTGCCTTTTTCGGTACACTGCTTTTCTCCAAACAAATCTTATATTCCGTTGCCATGGCTACAGGTAACAGGAGCTAACAAGGGCATTGGTTTTGCCATTGTACGAGCCCTGTGCAAGCAGCTGGACAATGGAATCGTCTACCTGACTGCCAGGAACGAGGAGAGGGGGAGGGAGGCCGTGGCCAGACTCAATCAGGAGGGGCTCCAGCCTAAGTTTCACCAGCTGGACGTTACCGATCGGGCCAGCGTGAGCCAGCTGAGGGATTTCCTACATAAGACGCACGGAGGCTTGGACATACTGGTTAACAACGCTGGGGTCTACCATGATGTAATTTCATTTTGTTTTCAATATGGCTATCCAAGTTTTAATAATCCGCTTTTCATAACTCCTTCGCTGACGGTAACTGCCACTTTCTGTAAGTGTAAGAAAAAGCCGACATTGTGCCCTTAGGCTGGACGTTGAATGAATTAAAATGTCCAGACAGAAAATGTACCCGTTACGCGGCATGATCACGCTTAAATTTGATACTAAATCAGTGATTTCCGACCATAACGTTCGGCGAAAAATAAAGGTTCAGTTCGGCTTGCTTTGTTTGAGGAAGGGGCTACACCGTTTGGGGCTGGTCTTGAAATTATTGACTGGCTTCTATAACTGCAGTTTCTGTGAGCTTCCACAGTACATGTAGTAACATGACTAACTTTCCCCAACACCGCATCAAGAGTTTCCGAATAATGCTCACACCCTTGCCTTCTTAGCTGAACCCGTCTCAGTCTTGAAAATACTAGTGTCTCAAGAGTTATCATCGATACGCCATTGCTCTGATTTGTTTTTGTGTTTTTGTTTTTTGGTTTTTTTTGTAATGTGTTATTTTAATTTAAGGTAATGAATGCAGTTGTCTCGATGTACATTTGACGTCACATTTAACACAGCCAAAGAGGGTATAGAATATACACATTCAACGTCTTGGGATGTGATGCATGAGCCAGCATCGTCTGGAGGGTTGAATAGAGTTTAATAATTGCCGTGAGGGCTCACTCGTCGACAACATGGCGAAGATGTGGTTAAAAGTACAAGCCCTTTTCACATTTGCGTGCATACGTGAACCTGGAGAAGAAAGCTATTTTCTGTAGTCTTGACGTGAGCAAAATCACGAAATACCTTACAACAGAAAAAAAGGGCCGCAGTAAATTTGGTCGTACTTACAGGAGGAGTCATCTCTGCCACTGGGAGAGAAGGCGTCGGTTACTATGGCAATCAATTTCGACGCTGCCTTGGATATCAGCAGAGCTCTCATCCCACTCATACGAGCTCATGGAAGGTAACATTGTCGACTAGGTAGTGACAACCGATGTTTCTGTAAGGTATTTTGATTATGAGGCTAGGAACTACACTGAAGCTATCAGCGATCCTTCATATATTCGGTGTTTCCATCACAGACGTCGTACAATGAAGACAATGAATACTGAATACAATGGAGGGTTCTATAAGCTTACACAAGACCTGGGAATGGTCGTGTGTCCCGTGTTAAAGAAGCGAGACGGTGGGACAAGAAAAAACTGTGTAAAGGCCGGTTTATACATGTACTTTATGTAAAGCGAAGCGAATTTGACGTCACAAAAAGATTGCAGGGAAATTTCGCTCAAGTAAAAAAATGTGTTCAATTTTTGCGAATTCGTAACGGGAAATTTGATCTGACGTCACAAATTGGCGTTCGTTATCGCTTTTGCGCTAAGTACGAACCGGCCTTAACTCACGTAAGCTGTCAAACGCACCATCTGAGACGCTTGGTCGTGGCAAACACACATCGATCATGCGTCACCGGTTCAGTGTTAATTTGGCGCGAACTCTTGTTCGACCAATCGTTAACTCCTTTCTGTCAATGTGCATTATGCATATTATGCATATTGCAAGTCGAACAGCACTTCCGGGCAAAATTCCTTCATCACATTTTGCCGTCGCCGGGCTGAAGGAACCGTTGCAGTGTCCATGGGCCACGGCTTTGAAGACTAAGTGATAAAAATGTCTCAACTGTAGAAACGCCAGATTTAAAGAGGATTTTCCCAAAATTCTTCAATAAATTCAACTCTTTTTACCAGATTCCTTTTTGATTAATTTTTTTATTTCTAAAATTAAAATCACAAAAGAAAGCTTGCATATTGCGTTATGCTTCTCAGAATCGTCAACGTATCCAGTTTAATCGGGGTCTGGGCATTCCAAAAAATGACCAAGGAGCTGCAAGGTCGTTTCCAAGGAGCCAAGACGGAACAGGAAGTGGAGCAGCTCATGCACGAATTTGTGACGTAGGTTCTAGAAGGTTAAAGTTCTCTTCCGTAGAAACCTTTTGAGTGGTCACCGAAAGAAGTATTGGCCCAAACAAAATAACCGTCGATGTCGACGGGGAATTATTAAAAAAAAATCTTCATTATGTCAAACTTGAACTCTTCGAAACTCTGAAATTGTGTAGATAAACTCTAAAAAAATACAGTTACTTTGTTAATGACCCCTTCTGATATTTTGTTGACAACATTGCATGCAATTTTTATATTCCCTTTTCGTTGGCGTCAAGTCAGGCACTCCTGTACGGCACTGCATTATCCGGTGCGGTATAAAATGACGTTACACCATAATTGAACCCTTTTTGTCGTATGAATTTTACATGCGCTGTTGACTTTTGCCCCTTCTCGTTAGACTTGCCAAGGCCGGCAGTCACGCCCGTGAGGGATGGCCTGAAATGGTCTATGGAATATCCAAGATGGGGGTCATTGCACTTACCCGGATCCAAGCTGATGACATTGCCAAGGATAAGACTAAGGGTGATGTTCTTCTTACGTGTGTAAGTTGATCTATGTACAACTCTATAGCATTTTGCTTCTACTGTTGGGAACTACATGGAGCAGCAGTCTTGCAGTAGGCCTACAATTCCTGGCAAAAGTGCGTTGTCAAAATGTACCACTGTCTTCCTTATCATCAGATGCCATTATATCCAGCAATTCACGATAGCTAGACACTATCGGCGACCAGGAGGACTTACCACACTGAAAGCACAGTGCAGCCACGCCTATGGCGCAACGCTAGAAGCAACGTAAGGTCCAATGCGACGCCAATAGACCCCACCTCGTAAACACGTGCACTGTAAGCTTGCGGTAGCAAACCGGTTCAAAGTCAGTGCGGCGCTGTTGCAACCTCTTGACTGTGGCGGCGAAACAGTAAATGTTTACAGCAGAAGCGGTGAGACAAAATTAGCTAATTGTGCATGACGGAGTTGGTATATGTATTGCGGAGATACAAAACACTTCTTCAGAGGCAATAGACGGTGCTGCAAAATTAGGGATTATGTATTTCTCTTTTTCCACAGTGCTGCCCGGGTTACGTGGCCACAGACATGACAAACTGCCAAGGGCAGAAGACAATCGATGAGGGCGCCGTTACGCCGGTCTACTGCGCCCTGCTACCGCCCGGTTCCAGTCAATTCAACGGCAAGATGTTCAGCGAAAAGAAGCTAGTTGAGTTCTGGTAGCGTCCGAACAATGAGTTTTCGTCGTCGTCTTCTTAGACTTTGAGACACGGAGACTTTTAGACATTCGTTCAACGTTGCTTCTCGGATAACTCCCCAAAAACGTAATAGATAACTGCATGCATGCTCCATAAGCACAGGAATGGAATTCACTTAGAAATCAAGAGAATACCTAATTCAACAACATTAATAGGTAGAGCTATGGGTTGAAGCAAAGCTTCCTTTTTCTAACGTGTGGACAGATACAATCACAATATAAATGACAGATAAGGTGAAAAATATGGAAAAACGAAAGCATCACACGCAGAGGTAAGACAATTACACATCAAACATTTTAAGAGTTGAGTAGTATTGTGTGTAAGCTTATTAGCTTTTTATTTTTAATGTAGATAAGGTTAAGGATGTTTAATCGATTTACTCAAGCTATTCAAGAAGTTATAATGTTGCCCTGGTAAAAAAGCCTCTTTTGTAAGGCGTTGGAGGAACGTAGATATCTTTTTGAAACACTTCTTGTGCTATATAACTGTATAGTCATGGTTAAAATGGACTAAAAGGGCTTGAAAGTAGATTATTTGAATAATTGTAAGCAAAGTTACCCATATTTAGGTAATAAAGATTTTAAACCCTAAGTGCTTGAAATTGACAAACAGAGGATCGGCATGTTCAATATGATCCGCCTAACAGGAACAGGAGCCTAGGCACAATTTTCCTGGCAACTGCGGCTCCTGTTATGGGGACTACACTTCCTCATCTTGGCTACCAACAAAATGAACGCTCCCCACCAACATGGCTCCTTTCAACCGGTGAAGCTTGTCGTGTGAGGGTTTGTGCTCTGTATTTCGGCCAAGATCAAACACCCACATGACCAAAACTGGCTTGGCGAACATTCATCACCGTCCACTGTCAATCGTCCACCATTAGCCCATATAATGTGTTTCCAACACAATAGGAGGGTGCTATTTACAGTGGGTAAATTTTAAAAGATTTCAACGAAACAAACTATCGCCCAGGTATTGTGTGCACCATTTAATTGGCACGACCAACATCAGTGAATTTAGCGAACCTTATGTTTTAATGTACGGCTAGAGACTTAAAATTTTCAAAGATTTTTTGTTTTAAGTACCTACCTATTTGACTTGTAGGGTCTAACAGCGCCCTTGGTTGGAGCAGGTATGAATGAAACTTCAATATACATGTAGCTGGGTTTATGCGCAAATGTCCTATAAAAACCATGTAACAACAAAACTGGACCCACAATGCCTTTGTCCCGAATGAAGCCACCAGCCGCCATTTTACTGTGCCGAATACAATAGGCGATGGCTCGCTTACGCGTCGTAACTATTGATGCCATTAACGAATTTGGTTAGTAATGGCGAAAAAGCCTTTGTATTACATTTTGTATTTGGAACGGTTAAAGATAGCCGCAGGTGGCCTCAACGACCTCTGCGTGCTGATGAAGGTATCAAGGGTCCACATTTACTGATATAAGGTCCGTGGGTTTATGGTTTGGTTTGATGGAGCGTTTTTAGGGCCTGTTTGTTTCACACGCATCACGGTCAGCGATCCAAGAGCTGGTTATCGCTATCCATTCGGTGGGTTGACCGTTCTGGTGTCAGCGAACCAGCGACGGATCACTGATCGCGGTCCGGACCTGCGTGGAACAAACTGGCCCTTGGTTGGATCCTGAGTAAGTATCCTCCCCCCTCGGCGCCTCCAGCAGCTTCACCATTAGAACCTCTTCTGGGGAGCTAGTTAGCGGAGCAGTTCTTTCCTCACTTTGCACCAAGGAGTCCTGGCTTGGCCTAGGCTTTAAGTGCATTTGGTTTCCAGTCCATACTCGCTCTCGTAGGTTTTCTCCAGGCACCCAGGTCTTCTCCTGCCTCTAAAACTGGACCTTCTTCCTAACTCCGTAATGAGATGCTGATTAATAAAGGTTATAAATAAACGTATAGTTTATTTGTTTATTTTTTGTTTTTTTTCCCTGCCCGACATGTATTTCTTTCAAGAATTCTACCAAGAGAATTGTCATTTTAAAGTGTAAGATACAATATCATGCTGATACTCCTGGATCAATTAAGGCCTGGTTCCTAATGTTACCTTTATGCCTCCGATGACTATCCTTGCAAACTTGGCCGCAAAGTGACATTTGATCCTTGGCCACGTCAACCATGAACGGTGTTTAATACCGATGCTGCATCATCATTTTCTTCCCATTTCAACTATACATCCTCTCAATTTCGGTCATCCACCTTGCAACATCCGTGACATTAAAGGTGAATGATGTTTCTTTGACGAGTCAACCGTGGTCCTTGAAGTTTTGAATCAACTATGGCATCCACGCTCTATCGAGTTATTGAGAATGTGACATTTGGTTGGTCGACTGTTTCATGTCGTCGCTATGATTAATTAAACACGCAATCTGTACGTTTGGTACCTTATTTACCGAGTATCGAGATACTATATGGCTGAATTGGCTCTGTACAAACTCAAATAAACAAATACACGCCATGATTTTTTTCTTTCAAATTATGAACCTGCTGTTGTATTTATTCCGAAATTCCACAGAGAGAATAACTGAGAATGAGCATTTATATTGGTAGAGCGGAATGAAACCATCAACATTGTCACACCCCCCCCACCGTATGCGTTTCTCAATAGCTCTCTGTCGTGTAGTTGTGGCAGTCTGGATGGTACAGCGATATGATGTTCAACCAGCTTTGGCATTGATTGCGTTACCCACGACATAAATAAGGAACGTTAATGAATGAACCCTTTTGAGGTTGTTTGTGCAGCTATGTTGTTTACTGTTCTGTGTACACAAGCCCGATAGACCGGACACCCACATGACCAAAACTGACTTGGTGAATTCCATTCCTGTGTTAGTGGAGCATGCATGCAGTTATCTAATTAGGTTTTTTGGGGGGTTATGCGAGGAGCAATTAACGTTGAATGAATGGCTAAAAGTCTGCATGTCTGAAAGTCTAAGGAGACGATGACGAAAACTCATTGTTCGGACGCTACCAGAACTCAAGCAGCTTCTTCTCGCTGAACATCTTGCCGTTGAATTGGCTGGAACCGGGCGGTAGCAGGGCGCAGTAGACCGGCGTAACGGCGCCCTCATCGATTGTCTTTTCCCCCTCGTGATTCGTCATATCTGTGGCCACGTAGCCCGGGCAGCACTATGGCGAAAGACATTTAATATATAATGTTACATACATAATACGACCACGCGTTCTTAATTTTATAAAAGTCTTGTCTATTGAGGAGACAACGTATACGGGACACAACGCATGCGTTTTTCCACCAGGTTCACACAAGTGCAAGCTCTAATGGTTAACAAGTTTCCATCGGCTGAAAACAGCTAGCAAGCTTTGTTTGTTTGTTTGTTTGTTTGTTTGTTTTTTCGGTTCCAGAACAGTTCCATCGCCAAAGGAAGTCAAGAGGTCGCAACAATGCCGCACTAACTTTGAGCCGGTTTGCCACACCGCAAGCTTATGGTGCACGTGTTTACGGGGCGGGGTCTATTGGCGTCGCACTGCACCTTACGTTGCTTCTAGCGTTGCGCCGTAGGCGTGGCTGCACTGTGCTTTCCGTATGGTAAGTCCTCCTGGTCGCCGATAGTGTCTAGCTATTGTGAATTGCTGGGTATAATGGCATCTGATGATAAGGAAAACAGTGGTACATTTTGACAACGCACATTTGCCAGGAATAATACTGCACTGAGACGACTAGGCTGCTCAATGTAGTTCCCAACAGTAGAAGCAAAATGCCACAGAGTTGTACATAGATCAACTTACACACGTAATGAGAACTTCGCCCTTCGTCTTATCCTTGGCAATGTCATCAGCTTGGATCCGGGTAAGTGCAATGACCCCCATCTTGGATATTCCATAGACCATTTCAGGCCATCCCTCACGGGCGTGACTGCCGGCCTTGGCAAGTCTGACGAGACGGGGCAAAAGTCAACAGCGCATGTAAAATTCATACGACAACAAGGGTTCAATTATGGTCTAACGTCATTTTATACCGCACCGAATAATGCAGTGCAGTACAAGAGTGCACGGCTTTACGTCGATGAAAACTGAATTAAAAATTTGCATGTAACATTCTTCAAAAAATATCAAGAGGTTAATAAGAAAAAAGTGACTGTTTTTCAGACAGTTTCTGGACCAAAGTCGATAAATTGAGAGACATATTGTCAGGTCTATTTACAAAAATGGAAGAGTCAGCTATTGTCAGAATGAAGAATTGTTCCATAATTTCTCTAGAGAAACTGTCAACCATTATATTTTATTTTTGAAAATACTTCTTTCGGTAATCGCTATCTTTGAATTCATTTCTGACATCATGGTGACAAAGCAGGAAAGCACTCAAAAGGTTATTACGGAAGTGAACTTTGACCTTCTAGAACCTACGCCACAAATTCGTGCATGAGCTGCTCCACTTCCTGTTCCGTCTTGGCTCCTTGGAAACGACCTTGCAGCTCCTTGCTCATTTTTTGGAATGCCCAGACCCCGCCTGAACTGACTACGCTGACAATTCTAAGGAGCATAATAAAATATACAAGTTTTGTTTTGTGATTTTTATTTTAGAAATTGGAAAATTAATTAAAGAAGAACCATAAATTTCCGGGTAATCATTGTGCAGTTGTTGGAAGCAGCGCCTAATGACGCAAACAGGGGGTTGAGTTTTTATGGTATACCTAATATCATATCGCAATCGTATGCTGTCTATTTCATCTATTCATGCCAATTTGGCTATTTTATCCACGAAAAACCTGAAAAATAAAACATTCCAGGGCAAAATTACCAGCGCAGCGACGCGTGACGGTCGCAATCATTAATTGTACGTGAACACCGCTTCAAAGGTCAACTGGAAGTTTCCTGTGTCGGCAACTCCGGCTGACCGAACAAGTATACGCGCAATGTGTGGTGCGCCCGCTAGAGTTGGCAGTCCACTGTGTGTTTCTTTCTCCAGGTTTATTACGGTCGGCACAAAGGCATGCCGAGCCCAGATAGTTTTAATATATATATGACGTCCGTAATAAAAACACCGAATACCAAGGATCGCCGATCGCTTCAATATAGTTCCTAACCTCATAATCGAGACACCTTACAGAAACTTCAGTGTCACTGCCTAATCGACAATGTTACCTTCCATGAGCTCGTATGAGTGGGATGAGAGCTCTGTTGACATCCAAGACAGCGTGAAAATTGGTTGCCATAGTAATCGATGCTTTCTCCCCAAATGGCGGATGTGACGCGTCCTGAAAATACAACAAAACTTTACTGCAGCTTTTTTATTTCTGTTGCAAGGTAGCGTAGTTTTATTGATGTCCAGACGACATAGAATAGCTTTGGTGTTTGGGACCTATACACACAAGTACGGAATCATATTGCTGGTTGAAGTATAACTCGTTTTTGTTCAGCCCAGTGGAGTTTCAGTAGTTTATCTTGCAATTGTGTGCAATCATTGAATTCAAATTCGAAATTTACCACTCAACAACTGTTTTGATTCTGGTTTTTTCAAGTTCTAACCTGGACGGTACTATTGCTTACTTCAGAAGGCGATGGTTTGTATAACCAATCTTGCGCATTCTCAGAGTTTGGAATTTTACAAATTCATGAGTTTATCTCAGAGAAAACAAACTCCACTTAATACTTGTGCAGATTACATAATCTTATTTACTTTTGTGACAGTAACCACTTGGACCCATTTCAAGAACCTGTTTGTGATGATGGCACAGACAAACAATTCAACACAACACCAGTGACCCCGTACAGAGAAGTATTCCCCATTCTAGTCATCCTATGTAGATCAGCTCGTTAACATAGCCATTTGAAATTCCGTTTGATTTCAAAAGTAACAATTTCTGGCACGAAATGGGGGAAGGGGTGGGCAATAAATGTAGGCTAACTGTTGGGTTGCGTTTTTGACATTCTGCATAACTACCAAATCGGCTTTAGATTCTCAGTAATCTGCTTACGTTAAATAATTCCCATTCCATGACTCCATCGCGGACAGTAACTGCCACTTCCTGTAAAATAATGTAGGAAAAAAGCTGGTAGTGTGCCGTTGGCTCGCGTTGAAAGGTTAAATGTCTATGATTAGTAATGACACGCCCATAAAATGTTCCAATTTATTTTATACACCTGTGTGTAACAACCAGCTCGTTTTGATATATTATGTCAATGTTCCTAAAGATGCTATTCGTGCTATGACAGTATGCACAATATTTCGTTAGTTTGGATAATGAGTGATATTCAGTATGAAGCATATTATGTAACGCCTCTGATTTAATTTCCAGTCTCTTGAGACCGTTTGCGATTCGGGATTATTGTACAATGATGGGAGAGACACCGGCGGAAATAAGTTTCAAGAACTGAATTCAGCTTCAGAAATTCCTTTCCAGCTTCCTCTATCATGTTTGTAAAAATGTTTTGTAAATGATGGGCCCTATCTTTTCCCATCTGATAACGCGCTGCAGCAGACAGGGCGCTACGGCAGAAAGAACAGCCTTCTTTAAAGATCATATTGCAAAAAATATGAAATTACTTTATAGTAGACTGCTGCATTGTTGACCAATACGTCCAAGCCTCCGTGCGTCTTCTGCAGGAAATCCCTCAGCTTGCTCACGCTGGCCCGATCGGTAACGTCCAGCTGATGAAACTTAGGCTGGAGCCCTTCCTGGTTGAGTCTGGCCACGGCCTCCCTCCCCCTCTCCTCGTTCCTGGCAGTCAGGTAGACGATTCCATTATCCAGCTGCTTGCACAGAGCTCGGACAATGGCGAAACCAATGCCCTTGTTGGCGCCTGTTACCTGTAACCATGGCAACAGAATGTAAGACTTTTGGGTGAGAAAAGTAGTTTGCCGAAAAAAGGGTTGTGGTTTTTGGTGCGGCATTTATCCTCCTTGAGCAGAAGCACTCACTCTTCATTGGTTAAAAGAGCCACGTCAGTGGGGATTATTCAAAAAATTTTGGTATCTATGTAACTGTAACTCTTCTATTTCTTAATCGTTTGTGAACCAGCGAAGTACTGTCCTATTAAATGAACCTCCAGTGTTACCAAAATTGAAATATCCCCACCGTCACTACCTATTCGCCCGGCTGTACGTTCCGTTCACCTGGCCTGTGCCGCGCATGTTTGACGATCCATTCGATTGGTATGCCCCACGCCTCCCATATTGGGGGCTGGCCCGTTGCGTTGCCCACCCGTCACCCCGTACCAGCGTTTTTGCTTGACCGGACTGCGTTTGCCGTGTATAATATGATATTGCCATAAATCTCAATGATACTGACGTGGTCATTATATGAAGACCATTCAAATTTAATCTTTCCGACGGGAAAGAACCTTAAGAAAATAACCTCCTGGATATGAACGATCAAAGAATAACCACAAAATTAATTCCTTATCCACTACGCTAAGCGGGGTAGCTCGGTCGAAGTTCTTCTCTCCATCCTTTCGCTCCCAAGACCCTGCGTAGTGACGTCGAAGCTGTTCAGTGCAAATTGAATTCAAATATCCATAATATATTTCGGCCAGGTTCCTAACAAGGGGCGTTTCTCCATAAAAGCCTCGTTGTTAACAGCGGTGGGTAGTGGAATCGCGTGTCTAAAGACCCTTTTACGTTTCCAATCTTACATGATACATGTAGTCGTCAAAACCCTAGCCTACATGTTATCGCCGACCCCCCCCCCTTCTCAATGAAATCAGACTTTAGAATGGCAGCATCGATGCCGTCTACTTGACAATGTTGGCCTGTTATGTGTCATTTTTCGGTTATCAGAAGGGCCTAGTTTTACCAAGAGCACTGTTTTGTGGCTGGGCATTTTGGTTGTAGATCATGCACAGCATTTTTCAATTCGCCATGAAATTCCCTGTGAGTCCAAAGATAAAAATGAGAACCCAGTTGACGAAAGAACATATCTGCCTAGTCAGGTTTAGATGGACACGGATTGCTTGTGCACAAAGCACTCGCCTCTCAACGATGTAATTCCAGGTTCGAGTCCCGGCCCACGTCATTTGTGAGAAGAGTTTTGTGGTAGTTTAAGTGTCTCCAGTATCACGAGAAGTTATTTTCGGTTTGACACGGTTTTACCCCCTCAGCAAAAATCAGCATGTTCAATTTTCTGCACTCCGTTGGCAGATGTAGGTTGACAGCTGCCCAAGGCGCCTGTCTTTGCCTCATTATTACGTTGTAGTTTAATGTCTCACTTGTCCAGCACAATTGAACATAATTGTATGGCATTTCTGCTTTATAAATTAATCAATTACACTTTAACATGAGGAGAATCTTACCACTGCAACGCGCTGAGTGTTGGACATGGTCGACGATGATGGTCAGATGCGTGTCGTGTCCTATTAGCAATATCCAGTAAACTTATGTGCCTGTCACCCGCAACGCTTGAACTGCACAACAGAATGTGAAAGAACCGGGCGACTTTTAACCCCTCAACGGTGGATGATCTCCCTTTGTGAGACTTTTTCGAGTGCGAGCGATTTTTATACATAAATTGCCAGACGCGTTGTCATGAAACTAGACTTGCTGCCAAGTCGACAATTGGTTTGATTTTACTCTCCACGCGCGCATGCCACGCGTACGATGCACCGTCTAATCATAATGCCTTTGCGTCATAGGACTTTGTTTGCCTCGTCCCCATCTTACGGATTTATGATACATCTGCGCGGGAAAATTAGAACACGACTACTTAAAACGACTTGTCAAGTCTACATAAAATCTTGCAGCCCGCCTTACTACATGTGAAAAATGCAAGTCACGATATCGTTAAGTCTTGTAGAGTTATAATGCACAACATAAAAACTGGAAGTGACAAAATTGCAAATAATGGAACGAAACATTTGCTGGTTTAGATTAAACTTAAGGCTAGTTCTGGTGTCCAGTCAACAAACGGTAGGTTACTGATGACATCATGAGATCTGGATCCGTGTGTGGGAAAAACAGGCCCACGCATTTTGACGGTATACAGATTAGGTGATTGCCAGAGGTGGTAACAAGTCGACTTTTGCAAGTCCAAGTCAAGTCACAAGTCATTTGGTCCAGTCACAAGTCACGTCACAAGTCATTTGATCACAGGTCAAGTCAACTTGAAGTCAAGTCACAAGTCAATTTGGTCTATGTATAGCAAGTTACAAGTCTTTTTTGTCCAAGTACAGGTCAAGTTGCGCTATTATGTGTGATTTCAAGCCATAGCCTAGTCTTGGTTCAACAACCTTCCATATTTATTCTGCAATCCGCGACACGAACCACACAGGAAGGTTTTGGATATTTTGTTTGACCAGGGGCGGCAACAGACTTCAGTAAGAATGGTATGCATAATTCATATCACCTGGGTGATGATCGACGGAAGCTATGCAAAGTAACCTGTCAACCGAACGAAGTCTTAAGACGGTTATTTTAAGAATGCAAGGTATAAGTTGGCAGGCCTAGTTTAAAGCTGAAATGGGTTTGATCGAATGGTTTTTTTTTTTTGACCTGGTATAAGTCATAATTTGCAAGTCCAAACCAAGTCACAAGTCATTTTTTGGAAGTCCAAGTCAAGTCACTAGTCACAAAAATAGCGGCTCGAGTCCGAGTCAAGTGACTCAAGTCTACAACTCTGAGGTGATTGCGATCATGTTTCGTTTGACACTGGCTTTTCCACCGGAAAGGCCTACATTCTCACCTTATAGTGTTGTAAAGTTCCGTCTTTCGAGAATCTTACTCAGACTGTTCCTAGTTTTCGATATGGTAGACGAAAATCCTGTGCAACATTCTGCGCCTTGAAACAATGTGGCCTAGTCATGTGATTTTCACTAATTACGGGCTTATAGGATGTGAATGAATATAACCAAGATAACAAGTGAACCGCCCCAACGGACACGTCACCCCCTTTCGTCCATCCATGAAAACCATGCTGTGTGTGTGTGTGCTTGGAACAGAAGTCGTCCATATGAAGCGCAACACGCGTAGCACGGAACTGAATTATACCAAACTAAATTAAACACGTAGGCGTACAACAAGTTATGCTGTGAGAAAAATTCATTGCATTGAGGAATGGCCACATCATCTTGTAAGAAAAGGGCTCCCTCTAAAGGACGTTTATTATTTTCAACATTGGAACATTTATGGTGATACGTATTTTACCGTTTGTAAAATTTACAAGAGCTATTTTCCCCCTCAGTTTCAAAGGTAGGGTCATCAAGGCGGAAGTGGTCACCAGATCGGCAGTGCACGACTAGATTGAAAGCTATAGTGTGTTTACAGGCAAAGATCTGTCGTAGGCATAGGCCTAAATAATAGCAGTTCTGCGTTATAGCTGTAATATACACAGCACAATAATGCATTGCGTGCGAAGACCAATAATGATATTTACCGTTTTCACGCAGACATGAAGCGTGGCGGCCTTAAATTCATTGTCAGTGTACTTTACCACGAGAAAACCTGCCCTTCCAGATGAAGCGAGTCCCGGTCAGGGTTGGACCCACATGTATCAGTTTTGTTATTGACAAGGCCAGTGAAGTGGGCGGCTACAATCAGTCATTTCACTGTCAGTGTAGGCCAGGCTGGACTTTGCCACAAAAAATCTAGCCACCCGTTCAGTGTGTGTGTGTGGAATTGCTGGCATTGGCTCACGAGGAGTGTAAACTATGTATTGTAGTGTTTTCATATTGGCACTATTTAAAACTCGGGAAATTAATTTGTTGATTTTGTGCTCCCGGCTGGTCATAGTTTAACTGCTGGAAAATTTTTGCTTCCCGCGATGTAACAAAACAGAGGTCATAGATGTCCGTCTAGTCTGTTCAAACATCGTCAAAATAAAAAATTGCTGCTGCAGTTGTTTTTGTCTTTACATCATCTAAACCGAAAGACAGCGGTACATTGCCACAAGTGAACCTTTCATTAATTTTATTGATGAAAGCAGTAGGCCTACATATACATTCCCATATTATTTTGACACAAATTCCTCAAGTAAGGCAGCTTTGACTTTAAGTAGCACTCAACTATTCCACTCCAGTTTATGCATTCGAGCTCCAGTTTGTTGCTTTATAATGCAAATTCAATTTAACCCCAAGAAGGAACATGGAGAGTTTTTTTACCGTTAAGCACAACTTACAGTACTGCATAGAAAATTCAATGTTCTTTCTGGTTCTTCGTAATCTCCAAAATCTGTCCATGAAAGTTGTAGAATATATTAGGTATTACAGGCCTATTCTGGGAATATTTTTTTGTACACTGTATTTAGAGAAAAGAGACTACTTTTCAGCTTTGATTTGATCATTAAATCAGCATCCCCCCCAAAAAAAGTAAAGTGACCTGCGAAAGGAGGCTAATTAGTGTAATTTCATTTGTTCTGAGATCAGTGTCAAGCTCAAATCTGATCGAAACCTACTTTGAAAAATCGATTTTAAAAAGTAAGATCATGATTTATGACCTTTCACTCTTCGCTGAATGAAGTCAATGAAGAAAAACTCACTTTTTTCCCCCAGGAAGTGTCAGTCAGAATCATTTTAAAAGCGAGGACACGAATCGGGCGGCGGTTGCCAATTTTGAGAGCGATTCCTTTATCTAACCGAGCGCCCTCATCTGGTCGATCAGCCTACCATGTACCAGCATGCAACGCACTAGCATTTTAGAAAAAAAACGTGTGAAACTTAACTGCACATGGCGCAGCGGATTGCATTGGTAAGCCACATTCTGGGTGAAGTTACTTGAGTTTTTAACCTTTTTAAGAGGGCTTGTTATAGACCCCGACAAGCAGAAGATGAAAAGAGTTCCATGATATCTAATTGTCCACCAACATCGACGTCAACATGCGCTACCGGTATACCAACACAGTGTAGGAGCCCCAGAAATGTAACGGGAATTTCCGTTTTACAGCCACATCGTAAGTAAACCAAAGTAGGGGCCTACGTTTCTACGCCTACTTGGCAAAGCTCCCCACATCATTGGGATATCACACCAAGGATGATCATGTACACCACGTCTACACTTGTGCCTCAGGTATCAGCATGACTAGATAGCACATCTACTGATCTAGTACACATTTGCCACCATTTTTAGGGTGAAATCCATTGTTTTTGTTGGGCATTTACTTATTTGTATTATATGTTACTTATATTTCCTCCCCAAATCTTAATCCCAGCTCTGATGAGTACTTGCATAAGGTTTAAGAGGCATAAAGATGTCTATGTGCCGGTCAAATGTTCAGGTAACTGGAGCCAACAAGGGCATTGGTTTTGCCATTGTGAGGGCGCTGTGCAAGCAGCTGGACAATGGAATCGTCTACCTGACTGCCAGGAACGAGGAGAGGGGGAGGGAGGCCGTGGCCAGACTCAATCAGGAGGGGCTCCAGCCTAAGTATCACCAGTTGGACGTTACGGACCGTGTCAGCGTGAAGAAGCTGAGAGATTTCCTGAAGGAGACGCACGGCGGCTTGGATGTACTGGTCAACAATGCTGGAATACCCTTCAAGGTACAACAAGGGGATTGAGTTTTGGAGTTTTGATTTTTCAGAGTGCAGTTGGGGGAAAACAACAGTGTTTCACATTTTTACTTGCCTTGTCCTGTACTCCATTCTAGAGGAGCTCTCCTGATTCGTTTGGCACTCAGGCATCCGTAGTCATGGCAACCAACTTCACCGCCCTGTTAGAAGTGAGCAGAGCACTCATTCCACTGGTTCGTTCCCACGGAAGGTATCATATCTTCTTTCTGTGTTTAGGGCAGACAAAGTTTTTCTTGGTCAAAACATGCCAGGTTGCAAGGAAACTTGCCTGGATATTTCTCAACCCAAGTTTTGTAAAATCACCCACTCAACATAGAGTTATAGCTTAAGTTTATGCGAGAATTTTTTCGGGAAAACTTTCCCAATGATCCAATGAACTCCAAAGATGGGACGTTTTATGCAGAAGTTACGAAGATCGTCATTTCATCACTTTCACACATCTCCATTGTTCCAGAATCGTCAACATGGCCAGCACAGTTGGGCGGCATGTCTACAGCGAGATGAGTGAAGAGGTCAAAGGTCGTTTCCAGGCCATCAAGACAGAGCAGGATGTTGAGCTGCTCATGAAGGAATTTCTGGAGTAAGCCGTCAACCAGAATATGCTAAGTTCTGGATGATATTTCACATCAGTACTGTAAATAAAATTTCAGAGGCCTCCATTTCGAACTTTTTCTTTTGAGACTTTGGTTTGATATTTCCCCAGAATGTTCAATATTGCAAATGTTGCTTCAGTGGTGAAAGTATTCAGGCATCGCTGTACCAACATGTGTGTTGCCCTGCTTTAATCTGAAGACATGACGTCTGGCACCTTGTCTCTTTTTCTGTTCATTACTCTTTCCCTAATTAGGAAGTCGTGCCATTGGGAAGAGAGAGTCTTGTGAAAAATGTCAATCGTGACCAGTCTATCTGTTGCTTTAAAATTGTTCTGAGTGTTTTGTCCCACTGTGAATATTTGAAGTAAAAACAACCTGAAGTTTGAACTGAGCCTTTGCAGTGAGAAATTTCGCCAAAGAGGGTGGGTTTTATCGACATTGTTATGTGTCGTCAGTCTTATGGTTGATCTCCTCAGACATGCTAATGCCGGGGATCATATGAGGAAAGGCTGGCCCAACTCGGCCTATGGCACAAGCAAGATGGGGGTCATTGCACTTACCCGGGTGCAAGCTGCTGACGTCACCAAGGACAAAACAAAGGAAGACGTTCTCCTTACATGTGTACGTGAAGTATTTTTATAGTTTCTAGAGTTCATTTACAGTGAAGCAGGCTTTTAGGTAGAGAACCTGTCATGGTTGTAAGTTTTCAGATAAGACTGTTACAGACATTTTTAATTATTTCAAAATTGGTTGCTTGAAAATAAAAAATCAAAATTACTTCTGCTCTAGATGTTGGCTTTGGCTTTACTGATCTAAAACAAATTGGAATTGAACATGCATTGCATTGGCCGTAGAACATGAAAAATGTAGACTTTGAAATAGGAAAGAATTGTGAAAGGTTGGAGAATTTTAGTCAGAAATATGCTTGTTCTTTTTTTTTTGTGACAGTGTTGCCCAGGTTACGTGGCTACAGATTTGACCGATCATAAGGGGCCCTTGACGGTTGAAGAAGGGGCTGTTACACCCGTCTTCTGCGCCCTGCTTCCGCCAGGCTCGAAAGACCTTAATGGAAAGATGCTTTACCAAAAGTCTGTTTTGGATTTCTGGTAGCTCGAGAACTAGACTCACCTCCACTTGTAGAAAAACAGTGAACTAGAAGAATAATTTGATTTCCAGTTTTTATCACAAAATGGACCACAAGCTCTCAAGATACCTGGTAATAATTGTTGCAAATTGTCTTCATCATGGACAAACTTTTAACCACCCCCATGATTTCCTCTTTGAAAGTATCCTTGCCCAAATTGAAAGAGGGTTGTCTTGTTGAACTGGTCCTCAAAGTTAACGTTATTTCCTTCTTAAAGCTAGAAATGGTGGTGAAATTTAATTTATATGTTACTTGTCATGAGGTTTAATTTATGCATTTATGAATTGGAAATTGCTTGAACATTTAATAGAAGAGTTATGGCGAGATTTTTACCTGAAGATGTATCTTTATACAAGTAAGCTGTTTTTTGAAGATGTGTGATAACAAGCAAAATGCTTGATAATATAAATTTTTAGTGCATTAATTAGGTACATTTTGCCACTTCGTTAAGAAGACAAGTGCCGTGAGGTATGTGCTCATGCAGCATATTACAGTGACAAAAAGCTTTACATGGTAATAAACCCTTTGATATTGAAAACAGTCAGGTTTGTGTGCTTTGTCGGATATGTTCAAAGTGCCATGAAAAACTGGCTGCCTTCTAGTTCTTTTGGCGCAGTTGGCGCAAAGCTTGAACCCAACCGTTCTTTTTATTATTCCTGTTATATTTCGTTCGAGCAAAAGCCATTTTGTCAAACCGGTGGTCCATTTTCCTTGGTAACCAGCGTAACAGATGTTGCGCCCTCTAGTGTCATCCCAACTATCTAAAATATGGCACTTAATCTGTATAGAAACTTTTTTTTTCTAAAAGCACAAGATGATGACGGTTGTGACCGGCCCAACTATGTATGGCTCAATTGAGTGACAGAAGTTCAGTGTGTGCTTCCGACATTGTTAGAATTACATCATCATCTTGTGCTTTTAGAAAAAAAAGTTTCTATACAGATTAAGTGCCATATTTTAGATGAATTATATCAGAGTGAACTGCATAAAGGTTGAGACGTTTTTACAGAGATTGGCCAACAATAGTAGAGCCAGCCCAACGACAGACAAAATTTATGTATGAACCACCAGGTCTTATTCAAAACTAGAGGGGTCACTGATCTCCACGGCGCCCAACAAAAATAAAAACTGAGTAAATTCACCCCTCGGTACGGGGAACTTATGCACAGTTGAAAAATTCCAACTATAAAATTCTATGAAGCCATTTTTCTACTGTAAAAAAAAATCCTCTGGCCCGCGAATTCAAAACAATGGGTTTCAACATTTGAAAAGAAGAGATAGCAGTAGGCCTAGGGCAAAAAAGGGTGAAAGTACATGTATTTGGAAGCACGTGTGAACAAATGCAGGCAACGTGAGCCTGGTGCGTTGTGCGTGCACGTGATGCGCACTGAATTATGAACGCACTGCTATCGATCGCTTCGCTCACTATTTGGCCGGCGCCCGTACTTCACGGATGCCCTTGAATGGCGTGTGAGCCCAACTGCAGCACGGTCCCAACTTTAGTTGGCGTGAAATTTCGGCAATTTCGGTCAGTAACGCAATGGCTGAGCGAGTTGTAGTGGTAAGCATTAAGCCGTTTTTTGTACAGTTTGAGGCCGAATTTACTCAGAATTCGTAAGCCTTATCGCAAATACTGCATGGGTGATTTTACACAATGGTAGAAAGGCATTGTGGGAAGGAAAAAAGAGCAAACATTGTCCCTTTTTCCTTCCCACAATGCCTTTTCAAAATCACCCATCATGCAGTAGGCCTATCATGCCTGTGTGCGATAAGGCTTATAATTTATAGCACAGTGGCAAAGGCCAAACAAATAATGTCAGGCCATTCCTTCCGGTTTGTAGGCCTTCTAAACCATACTGAAGAAGCGGCGTCAACTTCGCCCCATTTACATTCATAATCTTATCTTTGCAAACAAATAAAAACATTGTTTGAGTACCCAACCAAGTCAGAAGTTCCAATTAGGCCTAACAACTTGATAAGGCAAATACCGAGGCCTACATGTAACGTAATATTACCTGTAATAGGGGTTAAGCGGAGACTGACTTAAAGAATGACCTTTCATCATTGCCTAAATTTCTGTGGTGTGAGGCAACATTTTGCAGCTGTTTACGCCATGGTTTTTAAGGAAGGGAAATGACATAGGGCTAAGTCTAGATGAAAATGCCTTCCCTTAAAAAGAACGATTTGTGTCTCCTTTTGGGGGGGGGTGGTATAGCCCTGTTGTTCCACCCACCTGTGCATTTGCCCTTGATCATGAACAAGATATTCAAATCTATCCCCTGCATAAAATAGTAAGAATTAAGATAATGTAATGTGTCTTTGTTCAGGTAACTGGAGCCAACAAGGGCATTGGTTTTGCCATTGTGAGGGCGCTGTGCAAGCAGCTGGACAATGGAATCGTCTACCTGACTGCCAGGAACGAGGAGAGGGGGAGGGAGGCCGTGGCCAAACTCAGCCAGGAGGGGCTCCAGCCTAAGTATCACCAGCTGGACGTCACCGATCGGGCCAGCGTGAGCAAGCTGAGGGATTTCCTGAAGGAGACGCACGGAGGCTTGGACATACTGGTTAACAATGCAGCAGTAGCATTTAAGGTACAACGTGACTCTCTGTTGTCTCTCTTATTGGATGCCATCACTTGAGGAGTATCCGAGGCCATCTCGTGCATGTTCCAAATATCTTTGAGACGTGGCACAGCCGATGCACTGAAATGAAACTTTGAAGTCCAAACTATAGATGCTCGTGGCAATCTGCAGGAGGCGGGCATGCAACTTTTCCTCAGATCAGGCAATTTTCTCATTTTCCGCTTCACGCTCCTGCCATTGAAAATGGAAAAGCACCCTACAAAATCTCGTAAATCTTGGATTTTCCTCCTTTTTTTTGTCAAAGTCCAGGTAAAGTTGCATTGCATGAGGAAGTGACATCATTTTTAGAGGGACCTATTAAACCCTAACCATGCTGAACCCAACAACGTTATGCAGGATTTCACTGGTCCCTAGTTACAGCTTTTACCCTGTTGGGTGTGCACTCCCTGTGATTTTTATTCCTGCATTGCTATTAAAACGAAGCAAATTATACCTCGGTGAGAATATTTTCAAGATGTATTTTTGCGTTGGGGAGATGTTAATTATAT